TAAGATATTTTTTTACTAAAATTTTTCTTAAATTCTACTCTACAAAATAGCTATCTTAGATTTTTTTTTTACATTTTATTTAAAATTTAAAAATAATTAATATTTTTAATAAAATGTAAAAAAATTAATTATTGAGATATAGCTATAGACCTAACGTATAACTATTATTTAAAAAAAAAATCAGCTAAAAATATTAACTGGATCAAAAGTTATTTAAGTTGTCAGTGAGTGGTGGGCCACCCTGTATATATATATATATATATGTATCAGTATTTCTGGAACACTTTCAAAAATTAAGTTGAACAAGTTCTACATTCTATATGCATTTATAAGTTTTGAACCCTTCCTGTATAAAGGAAAATGGTCCGATTTAAAAAAAAAGTTCGACGAATGAAAGAGCTATATAAATATTGTTTCTCATAAAAAAAAATGTTATATTGTAAAATTGATGTATACATTTTTCAAAAAGTTATAGCATTATGAAGTTAAAAATGTAAAATATAAAATCGAGAATTTTCCCCGTGAAGACAAAATAAAGTCTGAAATTTTTTAATAATACAGTATATTATATAAGCTTAAATTTAATTTAAAATATTTTCTTAATTTTCAATAATGAAACACACTTTAAATTATAATTCTATAATAAAATATATTTATTTCAGATCTTTTTGGTATGAAATGATAACATAAAAATTAATTATCCAAAATTGATTTATATTCTTTATCTATTACTGAAAAAACTACTTATCTAATTAATTTTATTACGATTTTTTATTTTATTTCAATATTATTCTTTACATTATATAAAATTAATACATATAATTTAGTACTTTTTGATTTCTACAAAATAAAGCCTTTTTTTGGAGATTTCCCTCATTTATGGAAAACTAGAAAAATGTTTTCAATTTTTAAGGGTAATGTCTTCGACTATATACCATTTGTGATCTTTTAATGTATTGTTGAAAGAAATCGGTTCGGTGAGAGCTAAGAAAAAGTGGTAACAGACACAAAAAAAAAACATCATAGTAAAATTAATAAAACTCATATAAACAAAAAACTATAAAATTAAATTAATGAACACAACAAAAAGAAATTTAAAAATCAAAAGTAAACAATTTTTTGGTAAACGCAAAATTAAAATTATTTAGAATAATTTAATTAAGTTTTGTTACCAATAAGACCCAAAAATGTATGCAAAAATCTATATAAATATGTATGTATAATATCAAAAACGTGTAAAAAATATCATGCTCAAAAAAAAAAAAATTATCTTAAAATAAATACATAATGTAAAAATAAATTAGTTAAAATAAAAGTTCACTTTTATTTACATATTTCACAAACTATTGTCTATAGTTTAATTATAATAATATAAAAAACAATGAAACCCATTCTCAACAAATTATGATGTTGCTAAAATGAGTTATTCATAAGTAAAATATTATAAATATACTAAGTCGGAGGAAAAAAAGACTTAATTATAACAACTATCTTTAGTAAAAGACATAAAACAACACAAATAATAAAGAATCAAAATCTAACACAATTTTTATACAAACATTTTTCCTGTATGTTGAATATTTCGTCTGCAATATTTAAATCAACTATTAAAACGATTTCAACGTTAAAGATAAAAATACGTTGTATTTTTCAATTTTAATGACTAAGTATCTAGATACGACTTTTTTAATAATAACACTTTTTATGATAAACATTTAGTTCTACAATTTTAGTTTTATTATTTTTCCATTGAATAGTATAAACTATAAGATAAGTGACAAAAACGAAAAAACTACTCTCATATTCAAATTTTCAACCCTCTTGCGGCATCTGAAAATATTAGGAAAAAATTCCTTCCCCCCATCAGAAGACTAAACTGCAACTTTTTTTTTTCTATTACAATTTAATTATTAACAATTTCAATACTTCGTTCCGCCCAAATGCACACCCAACACCACTGATAAATTTAGCACTTCTGTCATTTGTCTTTTTTTTACATCACAAAAATATTTTTTAACTATTGTAAGAAATATCTGTATTCGCTATTTACTTAAACTCCTTAAATTAAAACACAATATATAAGTATTTTTATAATTAGAAATAATATTATAAATTTTCGTATAATAAACAAACGAGCCTTATTGATTTATAATACTAAATTGTATTTTACAACTAATATTTATTTATTTGCTTTATCCTCATGTACGTATAGAGCGCTTCTAAATACGATCACATAGTCGCGCACAGTCATGAAACTCCACACGAATCTCAGCTCTGTTATAGTACGCACTTATTTTGCTGCGGGGAATGTCATACAGTACTAACCACTACTCACCGGGTAAGACATTTTATATTGCAAATATTTATTAATTCAATAATTATTATAAAAGAAAAGGTAAACTTTTATAATTGTAACAATGGTAAATTGGTTTATGAAAACTTCGTTAGGAGTTTTAATAATTCGTAAAAACTAATAATTAATTTTAAAAAATGATACTCCACAAAATTCTTGAATTATTAAATAACTTAAGAAAATTAAGGGAGGGAGCTAATAGTTATACCAAATACGCTATTTATTTTTTTATCAAAAAATTATCAAAGTAAAAATTTCATAATAAATTCGCAATGCAGAATTCAATGAAATATTCATATAATTTATAAGAAGTTATTAGTTTTACGGTTTTTCCTTTATTTTAATTATCAAATAAATTTTGTCACAAAGCTCTCCGTGTTGCTGAAAAAATTTTGTTGAAAAGTTTGCTCCTACAATAATGTCATTTTACAATTTTTATAAAAATAATTTATAATAGTACACATGAACAAAAAGCAAAAGGTTGTTTTTACCTTTCATAATGATAAGTGCACAAGTCTAGTTACCGCTAATAATGACTTTAAAAGTCAACTAAGTTAAGTTTAAAGGTTAAGTAACATAGATGTTTTCATGAAAACTCAACTTGTATGATATACTTTTAACTAGAATATTATTAACCCACTACAATTCAACTAAATGCTAATATAGTTTTATTTTTCTATTTTGTAATCTAAATTTATCCAAATTTATTTTAACATTGCATTTTTTTTTTAATGAAACCTAATTTCATAATTAAAAATATTTCATTAATACATTATTATAATATTTCAAGTTTATTATAGTTAAAATAATATTAAAATCGGTGGTTTTAACATCACTACATCAATACGTTTTATATTACACTTTAATACATACATGGTTAAATAAAAAAAATAAAACTGACTTATCAATTAATTACTAAAAAATAACTATTTAGGTAAGTAAAATATATTAAGCAACCTATTAGCACTTTATTGGAAACGTTTTTACCCTATCACCATAGGGACCCATGTCCATAAAGGCCATAATTAACTAAAATTGAATTACTATCAATTAGGACACTAAAATATTTTACAAATTGCATCACTTAATTTTTTGTCAACAAATATTTTGTGTTTATTAACAATACTTAAAACATTTTGTTAGTATTGTAGATTGGTACGACTAAAATGATAATAGATTTTCAATTGTCCTAAGTTTAACCATAGTCATAATTGGCCCATTTTACTAAAACAAATTTTTTATATATCAATGTATTAAAAATAGATGTTAGACCAAGCATTTGAAATCCCGTGACTTCTATCGCCTTTGTTTTATCGTGCAAAAAGTTTAATCAATTTCATTTAACATCATGCCCTTTTAATTATTTCTCTGCAACTAACAATTATAACTACACTAAAAACAATTGTTGTAATTTTAACTACTGAAATAATTACAGTATACACATCAAATATATATTTAAGTATACATTACGTTGAACAAGATTTAAAATAATTTAGTAAAGACAGGATTAATTTATTTGCTAACGCACGTTTACAATGATTCCTTTTGAATATAATAATAAAAAAAATTAAACTGAGTTATAAAAATATAGTATACTTTATATTTCAGTATAAATATATTATATATCAATAAATTAGTTATCAAATAATATTTAATAAATACAATTCAAAACTGTAATCACTATTTTATAAAAGTAAATTTTGTGATTTTAAAAGAAAAAGTGAATATAATTTTTTATTTTTTTTATAAAAATTATTCAATTACTTAAATTAGTAAAAAACTTTACTAACAGACAGTAATTCTAACATGGATTATGTTAAAAATACATAACGTTAACAGTATCCCAGTAAATTCAATATTATTGATTTTGGAGTCTTAATAAATCTCGAGGTTTATTCATTTTGCAGCCGTAAAATATTATATCAATCTTTTCCATTAACTATTATACCTAATACTATCATAGTATTGGGTATATGATCAAGATAATCAATTGCTTTATTTTTTATGTTACGTAATTTTTTAGAGATTATTAAACTATAATTACATTGTAAATATAAAATAGGACGTTCTTCATAAGTTTACATAACTTATATAAAATAAATTGGTTCCATTGATTTTATTTTATAAACTTAATTTTCCTTACTGTTTTTTTTTTATGTGACACGATCAAACAAAAATTTTTAGCTTTAATGTAAAGATTAAAAAGTATTGATTTGCAATGTATCTTTTATGTCTATTATAAGATGGTAAACCCTTGAGCAAACCTTTAGAAGAAAGATCATTAAACTATTAAAGAAATTGCATGTACGATGAATGTACGCACAGAAAATAAAATAGATTATACCTACCGAAAATAGCCATTCTGAAATTTATAAGAACATATAAGTTTTTTAAAGTGTTGTGGCATTTTAGGTACTTTTTTTTTATAAAGATAGATAATTTGCATAATAACTTTAATTAAGAGGTAAAGATATATACAGTTAAATTGAAAAATATTTTACCATTTTCCATTATTATATTGTAAATGTACTGTTTTTTATGACATTTTTATATTCTTCTGAATAATTATGATTCTTGTAACCACATTTATTTTGATAAGTTTGGTTGTTTACTGTTGTTCATACATTTTGTCATATATTACTTAATTTTCAACATTATTATAATTTCACTATACCTAATTACTTTAATATGTATGTTTTAATCAAAAAATTAAAAAATACTGCATTTATATTTTTTTTATCAATAACTCATTTTAGCAACATCATAATTTGTTGAGAATGGGTTTCATGTAAAGAATAATCTCCAATAAAATGACAAATTTAAAAATCTTTTATTTTCGAAATTTTTTTAATTAAAATTGCTATTACTTTTTCAAAAATGATCAAATATAGATATTTTAGCTTCGATGCGAAGCTGAGAAGGTATTGGTTTTACTATGATGTGTTTTCTTTTTTTTTTTGTGTGTCTGTTACCACTTTTTCTCAGCTCTCACCGAACCGATTTATTTCAACGATATGTCAAAAGATCACAAATCGTATCTAGTCGAAGACATTACCCTTCAAAATTGAAAAAATTTCCCTCGTTCCCCGTAAATGGGGGAAACCTCCAAAAAAATTACAAATTTAAAAATCGCTAATTTTCGAAATTTTTTCAATTTTTTTTACTAAAATGTGCCGTAACTTTTTCAAAAATGAACATATCAATATAATTCTTTTTTATATAGATGTTTGATGTCTTTACTTATCATTTGATATATTTTTTTTGTAAATTTGACCCTTTATCTGCCCACAGGGGGGGATTTAAAATGACAACTTTTTCACAAAAAATTAACTTTTTCAACTTAACTTTTGAAAATGTTCCGGAAGGTCTGACACTTTTATATATATCTTAAATTAAAGCTAATGTAATATACTTTAATTTGAAAAAAAAAAATTTGACCTCTGGACTTGTCTTCATGGTGAAAATGGCTATCAAATGCTATTTTCGTGTGAAAATTCTCAATTTTATTTTATTTTTTATATTATATTTAACTTTATAATGCTATAACTTATTGAAAAGTGTATGGATCCACACAATTTTTTTTATGAGAAATAATATTTTTTAATAAACCCTTTTTCAGTCGACATACTTTGTCTTAATCGAGATATTAATAAGGAACCATCAGATCAAGAAGCTTTTGGAATAAAACACCAATTTTTTTAAAATTAAACACTATCTAAAGATTTGCATCGAAGCGTTTATTTTTGATAGTGATTTTAATCACTGTCAGATATCATTATACTTGATTCAACTATACCACGGCACCACTGTGCCCCGACCCCCCTGTGCTGGGTTTTTTTTTTTATAGATGCATGATGTCTTTACCTATCATATGATATATATTTTTTTATAAACCTGCCCACAAGGGAGGATTCAGAATGACAACTTTTTCACCAAAAATTAACTTTTTCAACTTAACTTTGAAATTGTTGCAGAAATACTGACACTTTTATATATACCTTAAATTTAAGTTTATATTATATACTTTATTATGGAAAAAAAAAATTTCAGACTTTATTTTGTCTTCACGGTGAAAATGGCTACTGTATGTTTTTTTTGTGTTAAAATTCTCGATTTTATATTTTACATTTTTAACTTTATAATACTATAACTTTTTGAAAAATGTATGGATCAATACAATTGTTTTATGAGAAATAATATTTATATACCTCTTTTATTCGACATATATTACACTTATAAATTCGAAAACTTGTAATCAAGACTTAAATAAGGAAATAGGGGTTCATTTTGCTTTGAATAACCTATCAATTTTTTAAAATTAAATACTCTTTACAGATTTGTATCGAAGCGTTTTTTATGATAGTAATTTTAATCACTGTCAGGTATCATTATACTTGACCCAACTATGCCACGTCCCCACTGTGCCGCAACCCAACAGTGTTGGGTTTTATTTATTTTGAGATAGCAGAACTATAATATAGTTTCAAAAGATTAAAGAAACGTGAAAAAGGCGAATATTAAAAAAATATAGTAGCAAAATAAGCTTCCTATACAAAACTATTATATGAAACGTTTATAACCCAAGTAACAATTATATTTAAATAAAAAGATACGTAAATTAAATACTAAACTCATTGTTTGGTATATACAATGATACATAACGTAGACAATACAAAATTATAAAAAAACAGACTAAAAGCTATAAAAAATATCCTTTTTTGAATAAAAAAGAGTAAGCTGGTTGTCGGTTAATAAAATAAATTAAAAAATTTATTTTATATCAAGAAATTGATCAAATAGGATGATTTTGAGTAAAAACTTATAAGTGATAGGAATTTTAGGATATTGTTATATGTAACACCCTAAAAAGTATTAGAAGCAATAATAAATTTTATTTTTTTGTATTAGATCAAATATTTTAACATTAAATTGCATTATATTTCTATAGTATATCAAAATATAAAATATAATAGATGTGTATCACAAGTCTTGAAAGTATTATGACAAATTATAAACAATTTTGTTTGAGAGGTATACGACGTTCACTTATTTTCGATTTTGATAACGTGTTTTTTATGATAAAAAAATACTTTAAAAATGCAAGTATACACTTAAATACCATAAAATTGTGCAGATATTAATTTCATCAAATCTGACCTACAAATCAAATCGTAGATTCCTGATATTTTCATTTGGTTTTTATATTGGAATTCTATCCTAATAAGGAGAGTGTTGACAAAATTTCAGAAAATACTTCGGGCATGTATTAATATTTATTTTGCCATATTCATTACAATATAAAAATCGTAAAAATATACGACTCGAGTCGTGCAAATTACTAATAGTATACTAAAAACGGTCGAACATTGAAATTTTAATCGACTACCTCTTAAATATGTTCAATACTTAAATAAAGATACCCGGTAATAAATTTGAGGTCAAAAAAAACATTTTTAAAGGTTGCTAAACACGTTTTAAGTAAATTGACCAAAAAAACAAATAATTGCATAAATTATTCAATTTTTGGTCAAAAATTATAATTAGCATATTAAATTGTAAAAATTTTAGCATAAAAATTAATGTTTAGTTTTCGAAATTTAAGTCGAAAATTAATAACAAAATTATTTAAAATATTTTCTTTTCAAAACGACTTTTTGTTAGTTTTTCTATGGTAACCTTTTTTTTCACTAATGATAAAAACTTATACATTTTTTTTGAATTCTTCCATTAATCAAAACTGATATTTTACTTTAACAATATATATTTTACAAAATATTTTAATAAAATATGATATGTACTCAGGTTAATACATTTTAATAAGAATTATGAAACAATATTTGTTATATGGTACAATTATTTGTTTAAGACAAATAAGTATTTTACATGTATTAAAATAAAATAACTAATACGGTTGAAATACATAAGAATTATTTATGAAAATAAAAATATTTTATTGGTTTTTTCATAAAGAAGTATATTTATATATAAAAGTTGATTTTTACTATCTGGTTATTCATTATGGTCTTTTTCTACTACTTGCAATAAATATTATTTTTCACCTTACGGCTGTATTACCCACTACAAATAATGAATTTGCTTTTTGAAGAGCTAACAAGTAATTTTTATTTTGAAGCCAAGTAGTAGGTATCTCATTTAAAAAATCGTCACTAATATAAAAGTTTTGTTTAATTTTTTGTAGCAAATTATTGTAAAACGTCATTTTTATTTATCGTCTCAACAAAAATCCGTTTTTGGGATTCATCTCGCATACTTTATCTAAAGCTTGAACCATTTTAACTTTATCTTCATTAAATACCTCGTCATTAAAAAATGCTAATCCGATATGTGTTTCGCTTAAATACGACAAATACCTAGAAAAGGCTTTAACTATATAAATAAATTAAACTGCTGAATACCTCTAATTTCTGAAGCTATTAATTTAAATTGTTTTCAAAACATATCAATTTTAGACAATAAATAATTTTTGCTTTTCATTGTGATCTATGAAACACACCCGGAGTCCGCAAACTTAATTTTCCAGTGGGTTTTTTCCAATGCAAAGTAAACAAAGTTCCAAAATTTCTATGGAATCATTCCGTAAATGATTTATTTTTAACTTATTTTCAAAAAATTGTAAAACTATGTCTACATTAAAAGCAGTTTTTATAAACATAATACTATCTGTTAATATAGAATGGTATAAATCTTTATTCATTTTTTACCAATTACAAAAAAATCTTTTAAAAAACAATATCTGGCCCAGTTGATGCAGGCATTATTTTATTGAAAACTCTACTAATTATGATTTCGTGAATGTGATATTGACAGACAAACCACAATAATTGTTTATTTAACTATTTTCTGTCAAATTACAGTTGCAATTTAACCTATGTTCTATGTAGTCGTATGGAAAAATCAAACTATTAATATCATATTAATATGATCAACTACATTCAAATCTTCTAATAGGTCAATTAAAGCATTAGCTTGTGACTGACTAGAAGAAATAAGTTGCTTAGGTACCCTAAGAAGTTTAATATTACCATCATCAGTCACTAATACCGCTAAAATGGTAACATTTTACCATCTCAATAAACATTAACGGATTTAAACATTTTTGAAATATCGTCATAAATTTCAAGCTTTTCAAATAGTATATTTAATAATAGATAAGTCAGTTAAACGTTTATCTTAGAAGCTAGCTGCTAAAATATAAGCAATAAGTCCGACCTAGGGCTGAAGCAAGTTGAGTTATTATTGTATTACTGCGCTTTACTTGTTGAGTATAATTCGAATTCATAATCAATATCAGATTGGTCAGTGCTTTAAAAACTATCAACAGCATTAGACAAACTTTCTCCGCGTTTGGTGTTTAAGTTTCTCAAACTCTATAGTTTTTGGGTCTTAACTTGAGCGAATTGTTCTAGCTGAAATTTTTTTCAAAAGTAAAATTATGTTATTAAAACAACCATAGATAAAAAGAATTTACGATCGTTTATTGGAAATCCTGGGTCCAAGGCTTTAGCATGCGAAATGTAACTTCGGAATTCCAAAAATTTACTTTCTTAAAAATTTTGAATAATAGATCGATTATTTATAGTTTATAATTCTACTAAAATTGTTTTTAAATTTATCTCACTGTATATCAAGTAATTTAATTTTTGAAATAATATTATAAATTATAATTATTTAATTATATTAAATTTAATTTAATATAAATTTATATTAATGAAGCTATAATAAGTTAACTGCCTTTTTTTTTTGATTTTTACATACAGTAAATACTTTTTTGACCTCAAATTTTTACCAGGTTCCTTTATTTAAGTATAAAACAAATTTAGGGAGTAGCACATTAACATTTCAATGTTATAACTTTTTTTCACTGCATTAGCGTATACCTTATAGGTTTTTTACAAAATGAAATATAAATAACAAAAAAATGTTTCAACACTTAATATTTATATATACTTTAATATACACCAATGCAACTCTTCAACAATTTTATTAGTTTAATCTTACTACTTGTTATTTAGAAAATAAAAAGTAAGTTCTTTACTCGTATAAATATATTAAATACCTACAGATAACGTATTTTGACTTTGCATTTGTTTTATTATTTTTTAGAACTGTTTTAAAATATTATAAAGCAAAATAAATGGCAGATATCAGTTATCATAATAAATGTAACCATACAGATTTAACATCAAACTTCACAATCTGGGAAAATAAAGCTGAAGATCCTCATTTATTATATATAACATTTACACCAATTTTAATACTCCTATGTTTATTTACAATAATAGTTAATATAATATTATTATTGTCTACTTTATGGATAAAAAAACCACTTTCACCAACTTTATATATAAGTTTAAGTTTAGCAGGTACAGATCTCTACACTTCATTTTTACTAGGTCTTAGTTTTACTGTTCACAGTCTTTTACCTGAAGGATTTCAAATAGTATTAATGACTAATTGTATGAGTTTGGTATTAGAAGCTTTAAGATTGGGAGCAATAGTAACAACTGCAGGACATTTATTATTATTAGCTTTTAACCATTACATTGGTATACTACGACCACTTCATTATTCAGCAACAGTCACTCATGGAACTTTGTCTTTATTTATGATTTTTTTATGGATTGCACCACCATCTTTTTTATTAACTTATTTCAACATGATACCATGCCAAGCATTTCAATCTCATCATTGTAGTTATGAGTAATGATTATACACAAATACTATCAAAATAATTAAATTTATTAAAATGTTCTATAATTTTTTTAAGTTTTTTATTAGAATCAAAATTTAGGAGTGCATTTACAGCTGTATTATTTGGATCTTTATTAACGATGGGATTTATATACTATCACATATTTACTATAGTAAAAAGGCACCAAGCTAATCGTTTACTATACAAACAAAGTGGTAGCATGTACAATAAAAAATCTACACGGGTAAAGCGAAATAATATAAAAATAATAATAAACATTCACTAAATTATCATTATCTAACATTAACAGGTGAATTTTAAACAATCAACTTGTTCACAACAATGTAAAACTGAAAAAGCTGTTTACACCACATTAATGATTGTGGGTAGTGTAGTTATAGGATGGATGCCAGCATGTTTACAGTATTATTTAATATGCAATAATTGTGTAATACAACCAGATTGGTCAAGTTTAAAAATAAGGTTTTACACATACTTTGCAATCAACTGCCTAGTAATTCTAAAATCAGCAGTAAATTCCTATATTTATGCAGCTAGAATGCAAGATATTCAGGTATAAATTATTTAATTTTGATCAGTTAATACGTCTTTAGTCAAATTTTAATAGATAACATAATATGTATAAAATTTAAATATATGATAATTTATCCGTTAAAAAAATGCTAATATATTTTTTCTAGGTTGCAATATGCAAAATGTACTACCAAACAAAACGAAAAATGAATAGAAAAAATAACAATACTTTGGATTCTATAGAAAATGATGATTACAAATTTAATAAATCATCAATGAAAGGTAGAAAAACTGTTATATGCAGATTATCTATAAGACATAGTCACAATGAGCAAAATTTAAATCTAGAAAAAACTAAAAATGATTATGATTATGTAGATTTGAACACATTTTTAAACCACGCTAAACAGCAAAATGAAGTGACTTGTTTGTGAAATAACACTAAAATTGATAATTACAAAAGCAAAATCTTTTACCTTATTTTTAGAAATAGTTTAGAACCCGAGTTGTTTGACTATTTTATTAAGTTAAACATTTTATACTTAAAATTTATAATATCAATAACAATCACTGTGTAGTTTATAATAAATTTTAATTTAATGTAAACTATATATAATATCAAAAATCATTTTTTTTTTGTGCAAAATTTTCAAATAACCATACCATTATTGATCACACTACCAAATTGAATACAAATTTTCCAGCTTTTCTTTTATTTTTATAAGCATCTCTGTATATTTTTGAATATCGTCTCTCATTAAGTGTATTTTGATAGGTTTTCCCATTAAAGAAAATAGCCAAAAGTTCATCAGTGTCAAATTTAGATTAAAAAAAGGAAACAGAGAGCAATGTGGGTATATACCTACAATTTTGATACATGTTTGCAATAGATATAACAAACTAGACAACTTTTTTATAATTTCTCAGTAAAAAATTGCAATATAAAATATTGAATATCAATTTCATACTAAAATTAATTTCTATTATATGTAATTATACATGCATTATACTTATAAATCATAAAACTAGTAATCAGGATATAATTAAATAAATAGAAATTGTTTTTAGAATAATCTAACAATTAATTCTAAAAATTAAACACTTTACAAATTTGCATTGAAGCGTTTTTTATGATAGTGATTTTAATCACTGTCAGATATTATCAATACTTGATAATCCCCATTGTTTTGAGGTTTTTTTTTTTAATTTGTGTGACTTCTTTTTTTTATCAACTATTTACCAAAAGTGTCCCTATAAAATAATTAAATATTGACTAGGGGCCACCAACTACCCATGTTCTTTCCTGATTAAAGTTACTGTAAATAAACAGAAGTCTTCAAGTTATAACCAAACTTTTTATACTGACCCCAAACAAATTTTTATCAGTAAATTTATTATTTATCATAATATTTTATTACAAAAGAATTTCTCATTAGATATAATTTTTAAAAATTACAGTACCAAAATTAAAATTTAATTTAGTAGACATTTAATGGCTATTTGATATTCTCCTGGAATATAGTAACCTCTATATTTATTTCATAAAATGTCAAGAATTTCTGAATATAAAAATTTAATAAAATAGTTTTGTTTGTTATGAAGATATTATACAGATATTATAATTTAGTTTTTGAGCAATCTTAAAAAGCAAATTTAGTAACCCCTTCACTAAAAAAATAACATTTTTCTAAACCTTACTTTCCATCCGTGGCTTCAATGAAGGTGGCACTTAATCCAAGTTCGGTCATACAGTATAACATACGTTTATATCTTTCTGTTCTTCGAGCCAAATTTATAATATAAATTTTATCTAGACCCATATTATCAACTGGTGTAGTCAATAAACCAAGATTGTTTAAATTATTTGATGCTTCTAAAGGATTGTTTTCAACTGAAATTTATAGTAAAAAAAATAAAATATATGTTTCTTTTTCGATAATTTCAATAAAAAATGCTAATTTCTAGAAAAAAACTTAGTTACCAGTTATTTCTAATTTTATATTTGTCAATTGAACTTTATCAATTTCTAAAGAACTATCTTTCTCAAGTGGTATAGTTATATATCCAAATAATTGATCATTGCAAACATAAAATGATATACCTAACCCCAAAAAAAATTTAAAAAATAATTTAGATTAAAGTTATTAATATATATATATATAAATCAAAAACTAATATTTGTCCTATTTTGTAAATTGGAAAAAAAATGGTAACATTTTTTAACCTTATTTATTTATATAGTTTAATTTTTTAATTTCATCACATTTGAGTGGATGTAAACAAATACATATAAGATACACTGTTACTTTTTAAGTTACTTTTCTTTAAGTATGTAAAATTATAAAACAAGAGTAAGATAAAATATTTATAATTATTTTTGCAATCTCACCAGAAAAGTTTGCAGATACAGCAAAAACGATAATATCATCTAATGGTCCTTTATAATTTAATAATTTATTCTTATCAAATGATAAATTATCACTGATCTGAATTCTTAAATCTATCAAAACTGAGCTGTGAACCATAGGGACTTGAAAACACCCTCGTGTCTTACGTTTAACTATTGGTGTATACTCAGGAGTTCTTTTATAATAATAGTTACTAGTCATACCACACCAAAAGTTGGAGTATAAACCATCTGACTGAAGCATAGGAGCAACAACTGGGTAGTTTTTACTAATTAAATATTTTAATGTTAAAGGATTAATTAAAAAAACATCACAATCCAAAAACTGAAAAAAAAAAAAATTTAGACATGATATTATATTTTTTAAAAATTCATTTACCCATATAAAATCGGCCCATTTATTTCTGGCTGAGAATAGTGCTGATTCTTTTAGCTCAATGATATGTTGAAACCTTGAATCAGGCCAATGTCCAGGACCAGTTTCTTCACTATATTCAAGTGGCACGTCATTTATTAAAACATCACTTGAATGATATGCAGTTCCAGATGTAGTTATCCATTTATTAATAATTTTAGAAGAATTATCAATATTATGATCACTTCTTAACCTTTTATAACAAAAATAGTAAATTTTAACTTTAAAATTAGAAATAGTTAAGATAATATCTAAAATATTTTATCTATAGGTAACAATCATATCTTTTTTTTTTGCAAATTTTACATCAAATGAATTCTTAATTTAAAAGAAATTCTAATAGATATTTACAAAATACCGCACAATAAGTTTGTATTGTCTATAGTATTAAAACCCTACAAGGCTATCATGCTGGCCATATTTTAGAATTAACTTTAGAATATGTAAGAATTATTTTCTGAAATTACTTCATTAAATTTATTTCATTTAAAATAATTTTGCTTATAATAACTTGCATAAAATTACTTATTAAAAAATCAAAAATAAAAATGCAAGTATTTTAATATTTAAATATGTTTACTAAAAAAAATTAAAAAATACTTATAATAACAAAAAAAAGTAATATAAAATGCATTTAATATCTTAAAAATGTCATAAATCCAATAAATTTATTACATTTTAACTAGGTGATGTATTGAGAGCAGATTCATATGAGTTATAAATATAAACTCATATAAACCAAATATATTATATTTTGTTGAATTATTTCATCATATCATTCATCAATAAAACATCATCAACTAACCAGTACAAATTATATTAATGGGCTTCAAAACATAGTAATGTATTCTAACTGGAGTTATAGTGTTGGGTAGATTAGAAGGGTATATTATCCCTAAAATAAAGAATGTTTATATGTTTTTATTTATTCCAACAACAAATTTGCACAAACTTGAGTCCTTTTAAAATGGCTCAGTTGTGCAGCTAAGCTAAAAATGGCACAACTAGTAACAGTTCTAAAAGATACTTTAGCACCCCCAGTCATTAATACCTTTCCTGAATTTTAATACCTATAGTTTCAACTAAGTATTTTTATTTATAAATTGACTAACATTTTTTTTTCTTATCTTGCACTACATTTACATTATCTATTATTGTAGCAAATAAAATTTGAGATATATTTAATAAAATATTGGGATATTTCATTATTAAGCTATAGAACAACCACAATCATTAGTTTAATTATAAAGCTATCTATAAACGGCTATCATTAATACCGCCATTATACATTATAAAGCCATTTATATGAATGTGATGAATTGGAGTTTGGGGTCAGAGCCCTCAAAACATAGTGAATCTGAGACAATTTTAGCACCTTGGATTTTTGCTCTAGTTGTGCTACTGCTCAAAGAAAATTTATAAATACATATAAAATGGCTTTCTAGTAAAGTATAACGAAAATTTATACTTAAATGTCCTAAGTAATAATAGTAAAAAACATACAAAAGCTATAATAAAGCTCTAAATGCAACATTCTCAAGTGCAAAAAAAACATTTTATCATTTTAAAAAAGCTACTTTAATTTGCTTCTGTAAAATACAATACTCCAATGAAGTACTATAAGATTAACATCGTGATAAAAATATAATCTTACCATAAATGAATACGATCCTTAGGGTAATCTAACATTTCAAAAGTACTAAAAAAATAAGGTAACGTGTGAGCTTTATTTCTAATGAGCAAAGCCACAAAAACAGTTGGCAATTTTTTGACACTAACATCATTGTTAGCTTTAATATCAATAAATTTAAATACTAGTAACACCAAAAAAATTATCTTTAAAAATTTTCTCCAACGATTTTGCCCATTTTTAAATGGCGCCATTTCGGTAAATTAAACTTTGGATAGTAATACGGTCTGTTTTATGATTGCAACTCACTGATAAGTAAAAAACGGATATTATAAGTGGAGTTCACGATTTAGTAACAGCTGTTAGTTTATCAAAAATTTGTTATCTTAAACTGCATGAGTATATACATTTTTTGTTAATTGTACGAATTTAACATAGATTTAATGTAAATTATACATCACATTCAATGTATATATTAGTTCATATAACCAATGCTAATATCAGATTCCACAAATGAATTTTAAAACTAATTATTTATTAGAGTGTGTTCTTTTAACGCTAACCATTCGTTTTCTTTGAAAATAATAAATATGTTAAGAAAATTATTTTTGGAATTTTTTAGTTTTATATATTTCTTGATTTATCAGTTATTAATTACTTTCTTAACTTTACCATTACACCTTAGAAAAATGTCAAATTAATTTTAGGGGTATTTTGCTCTCTTTATTTAAAAAAAAATTATTTCGATATTCTTGCGCTTCTTATACAATTCTTCTGATAACTTTCCTATATAAAAGTAATAATATAGGCTATATTCAATAAATAAATAAAATATAATTTAAATACAATATAACAATTACAATTTGAAGAATAGAAGTGCGTATAACATCACCTCCGCGTATTAAAAACTTTATGAACGGAGGGTGACGTAAAATTACGAATCAAGTGAAACGAATATTTTTGTCGTTTCCATCATATAGCTTTCGAACTTATAATTCCATAATCACTGGCCATAGCACTCAATATTGTGTCAAATTTATTGCTGTACTAGTTACTTTTGATCTCAATTCTGCATTGTTAATAAATATTCTTGCGATATTACATTGTTAATGATTACCTGTACCTTAGTTACCTTAGTTGAATAAAACAAGTAAAGTAATAAATAAAACGAAAGTAATAGTATTGAAAACTATGTCTATGACGGCCACTCAAGCACAACTGCCCTTTGTTAATTCGACGTCAGTAGCTCCGGGCTACAGACGAGTAGAATTTTCACATCAGCTTCTCCCTCTATGCTAATTAATATGTACTACGAATTAAGTAAATGGATATAAAACGTGTGTAATATAAGTGGTAAGATCATAGTAATAAATGTAATAAATTACATATTAAAATTATTTGAAATGTCATTTTGGTAGTATATTAGTACCAATAATTGCATTTTCCCATGATACTAACATTTTCGTCCGTGGACCGTACAGGTTGTAATGGGAAATATCGAATAGTAACTATCTAACTATTCAATATTCATTCAAAAACTATTCAAATAGTATAAATATTCGATTGTTACCTAATATATTCGAATAGTTTTTAAAACAGTTCGATAGTCTATTCGAATAGTTATTCAAACTATTCAATAGTTTAAAATATTCGAAAATTTTCATCACTAGTACAGAGGGTTAAATTACCGTATCACCCCAACCGGGATCGTAAAGTTGGCAACACTATCACTGTCATTTATTCTCAGCGTAAAATAATCTACAACCAAAAACCTATTGAATCATGATGATAATAAGTGATAGACTTCACTGATATATATTCACAGAACAAATTTTTGTTGATAATATTTGATGTAATTTTTAGAATTTTTCTTAATGACTTGAATGTAGTTAAATTTTTTCTGTAATAAAATTTTCAGATCATATAAAATGTTATGAGTTAAATAAATTATTGTTCCTTTAAAGTCACATCAAAGTTATTATACCATAGTAATGGTCTAAGTTTGTTTGTCTGATACATAAAAAAAATGGTTCCTCATCCAATATTTGTTATGAACGCCGAGTCATCGCGCTATTACATTGACAATCTCTACACTCAAGATAATGTAAAATGTTACCAAGCACTTAATTTTATTAAAAATTCTATCATGGGTAGTAACCGACAGAAAGGAATTGTTATTGCTAATGGCATTTTACCCAGACTATTACAGGTAATTTTAAACTTCAATAGAATTTCAATAATTGAATTATGTTATAAATTTATTAATAAATAATTTTTTTTCTCAATTTACCAAGCATAGTGTTTATGATTAAACAAGTCCACTGTATATTATGCATTTTTCAAGTTTTATATTTTATGTCAGGTTTTAACAAAGAACTCTAAAGCCTTAAAGTTATAGTTGATCCTACCCCCCATAAGTGAGCTTGATCTCACCTCTGGAAAGTATTAAAGTTTTGATAAATTATTTAATAACTTTCAATTATTTTTATTTGATTGTTTAATTATTTGATTTTAAATAATTTCAGGTATTACCTGATCAAACTAAAACTCCAGAAATCCGTTTGGAAACTGTTGTTATTTTAGGATCATTAGCTAAAGGAACTGAAGACCAAGTAAAATCATTAGTAGATGCTGATGTCGTAAATTATATATTTAGTGCTTTTCTTTTAAACGATGAACCTAAATTTATTGAAGCATGTCTAAGGTGTATCCGCACTATTTTAGAGTTTTCTTTTGCTGATCAATCTGTTGTTTTTAGTGACATTGCAATAATACGCAAGTTAATTAAAACTATTAATGATTCTGTAAGCAACAGTATTTGCGCCATGTATATTTTGTCATTTTCATGTCGTTCGGCAGTTCATCAAAATATATTATGGGAAGAAGGCATTGGTTTTATTTTGGCAAACTTACTTAATACTGATCTAGATGATTTATCATTAGCAACACTTAAATGTTTTGCATGTGAATGTCAAGACAACTCGGTAATTTCTTCAGCTTTAGCAGAGACTGAGTATAATAACAAAAAAATGCCAGATATTCTGGACCTTATGAGAGGTGGAGATCATCCAACTGACATGAGATTAGCTGCTTCTAAATGTATTACTTACCTATATCGTGCTGGCGCATTAGAAGTTAATAGTTTAAAAGTTATGTTTGGAGCATTACCTACACTGGTCCGTTTATGTCAAAATGATCAAAAATGGGAACATCGAGTTGAAGCAGCCGAAATTTTAGCTGTTCTAATTGAAGATGATGCTGACCTACAATCATTAGCTAGCATATCAAATCATTTATTACAAACATTAGCAGAATTTGTAAATTTTCCAACTCATCCAGCTGGCGAATATGGAAATCATTGCGGAGAATATGTATCAAGAGAAATGAAACAAGCTGCTTTTAAAGTAACTATACAATTAAAATATTTATTTATTATATATTATAAACTATTATAGTTTTGATATTTTTAAGGTATTTGCATCACTTGGAGCAAACGATGAAGAAATTCGTAAGCGAATTATTGAAACGGATAATTTAATTGACCATATTGTGTGTGGTCTAAAAGATCCTAGTCCTAAAGTACAATTAGCAGCAGTTCGATGTTTGCATTCTTTATCACGTTCTGTTCAACAGCTACGTACCACATTCCAAGATCACTCAGTTTGGAAACCATTAATGACTTTATTAGAAGGTGCCTCTGATGAAATTCTTAGTGTAACTTCTTCTACGTTATGTAACCTTCTCTTGGAATTTTCACCCTCTAAAGAGCCAATATTAGAATCAGGAGCAATTGAACTATTTTGTAGTTTAACAAAAAGAGATGACCACTCATTGAGGTTAAATGGCATATGGGCCTTAATGAATATGGCTTTTCAAGCTGAACAAAAAATTAAATCACAAATTTTAAACACTTTGGGAACTGATCAAATTTTTAATTTATTATCAGATTGCCATGTGAATATACTAATGAAAACATTGGGGTTGCTAAGAAATTTGCTGTCAACTAAACCTCACATAGACTATATAATGAATCTTTGTGGTGGGGATATAACTCAAGCAGTAATGATGATACTTGAAGGAGAACAGTTACCCGAAGTTAAGGAACAAGCATTATGTATATTAGCAAATATTGCCGATGGAGATATTGCCAAAGATTGTATTATGAGAAATAATGAGATATTAAAAAAAATTCAGGAATACATGACTAATAGTAATGCTAAATTACAAGCTGCTGCAATATTTTGTGTGTCAAATCTTGTATGGAAAGAAGATAGTGGAGCTATTGAACGCCAAACAAAATTGAAGGAAATGGGAATTTTCAAAATTTTACAGCAACTTATAACTACATCAGATTCATTGTTATTTGACAAAGTAAAGACTGCATTAACACAGTTCTCAGACTCTTGACATACCTTCTGCTTGAATCCACCACCTTCAGTAGAAGTGTAAATACTTATCATTTTTTAATTTACATCAAACATTCTATTTAGTTACATAAAATATAAATTATAAAATTTAATTTTTAAGTTAAAAATAGTATGTTCATCTTAAATTATTTTATTGAACTTTTTTCATAATACAATACATTTTTTAAATTCAAGAAAAAACTTTTTTCGGATAAGTAACCCTTATAATATAATATTCATTCTAAAATTGTAATCATTGTAGGATTATAATTTTTTTAATATTAACAGATAAAAAGTGAATACATATATACATTTTGTTTATCTATACTAATAAACAGTTCTTAAAAAATAATCTGTTCATTAAAAATTTTAATTAAAAATAGCTATTATGTATATATCACATTAATAATTTGTCAATTTATTTAATAAAACTGTGAATACTTCAATTGATATTATTTAATATTTTTTGTGTATATGTTATTATAAATTATGTATATTTATTTAAGCCTAATTATAATAAGACTGTTTTATCTCATTCAATAATATGTTATTCTTTAAATTACTAGATAGATAAAAAAATAATAAGATAATTTTCAATTATTAAGATTTGAACTCTAATAGTATTATTTTTAATAACTTAAGTCATAAAAAAAAAATATAACTATAAACGTAATTAAATTATATTTTTTGAATAATTAATTTTTTTTTTATAAAAATATATAAATAAATAATAACCAATATTTTATACTTTATTATAAATATCAGTAATAAATAATTACATCATGGTACCAAACACAGGATTATGACGACATATACTTGGACCATATTCTTCATAATCTTTTTTAGAATGACAAACAGTATAAAACTCAGGCTAAAAGACAAATATATTTATTATTAATAGTTTACTAAGTACTTTAGTTTATTAATACTTACAGAAGAAGCTAACATACTTCCTCCAAACCATACAGCATATCTTTGCATATTATGTGTATAAACTTGCACATCAATTGGTTTAGGCTATGATTAGAAAAAATCCTAATATATTTATGGGTAAATTATATTTCTAATTTGTTAACAAATATCAACAGATAATCATAAATACATATATGTCAGTTACATATAAAATTGTATGGACAATTAAATTTTACAATAAAAATTGATCACTTATGGCTAATTAATTAAATTAAATTAATTAATTTTAATTTAATTTAAATTTTACATATTTTTATTATTAGTAAATAGTTATCAAATATTTGATACATTAAATTATATACAAATATATTTAATTTATTTAAATAAAAAATGATCAGTTTTACATCCTTCTATTTCCTGAACTTAACATTCTACGGAGGGCGGTAGCCCTTTTTCACATGTTCAGGAGTTAATGATGGTTCTTGGCTAAGTCAATGATGGATGGGACAGGTAATATGTTCGGCTTGCACCAGAAACCAGACACTACCATTGAGAAAATAACAAGAAAAATCTTATTAGCACCCTGGGGATTAAACCTGGGACTCCATTTGCCTACCCCTATATTTTAATACATATATATTACGAATTAAAAATATATATATATATTATGTTATATCCAGAAGTGTCTAAAAGGACTTAAACCCACCTCTCATTGACTGCACTAAACCAGCATTTTAGATAAAAAATGGTCATTACAAATTTTGTATTAACATTGGTCCCTCTCTCATTGAAAAATTTTGGGTACACCACTGTATACATAGTAATTATTTTACGTTAGCCACTCAATTTTTATTGAAGTAATAAATAAGTGAAGAAAATTATTTTTGGTATTTTTTTATTTATCACTTATTAAGTACTTTTTTAATTAATCTCTTATATTGTATAAAGGTGTTAACTTAATTTTTTTAAATAACCACATACATATTCAACCAGCTTATAAAATATAAAATGATAATAATAATAATAAAAAAATGATTTTAGTGTTTTATATTACACAAAATGTGATTACCATCTTGATCAAAAAGTTCCCGGAATTTATTCAGAAAATTAAAAATACATGTTTATTCATCTAAATCTATATTGTCCCCTTCAAAGTAATCCCCATCGACTGCAACACACTTATGGCAGCGCTTGATCTAATCCTCGAAACATTTTTTATATTCGGTTTTTGTTCCATCAGTGCTTCCTGTGATTTTTCCATTACTTCCTCTCGGCTGCTGAAACGCGTTCCCCGTAATGGTTTTTTAACTCGATTGAATAGAAAGAAGTCACAGGGAGCCAAATCAGGTGAATTTGGTGGCTGTTAGATAGTATTTGTTGCATTTTTCATAAAAAAATTACGAATAATGATGGCACTGTGCGACGGCGCGTTATCATGATGCAAAATCCACGAGTTTTCTGCCCACAATTCTGGTCTCTTTCGGCGAATTGCTTCACGCAAACGTCTCATAACGTCCAAATAATATTCTTTGTTTACTGTCTGGTCTTTTGGCAAAAATTCATGATGTACTACACCGTTGTAATCCATGAAAACCGTAAGCATAGCCTTCTTTTTTGACTGAAAACGACGTGGTTTTTTTGGTCTCGGCTCATTTGGTGAACACCATTCACTTGCCTGATGTCTTGATTGTGTGTCATACTCATAAACCCACGTCTCGTCTCCAGTAATGATCCTTTTGATGAATGTGGGATCGGATTTAGCCTCGCAAATCATGTCTTTTGCGACGTCAACACGGTCTCTTTTTTGCATGAAATTGAGGTCTTTTGGCACCAACTTTGCTGCTACACGACGGAAACACAGATCATTAACCAAAATGTCTTTGACGGATCCATAGGCAATGCTCAAGTCCTCCGCTATTTCTCTGATGGTTAATTTGCGGTTATTGACCAACATTTCTTTTACTTTTTCAGTGTTTTCGTCGGTTTTCGATGTCGATGGTCTGCCGCTGCGGTTATCATCTATGAATGATTCACGACCACTTTTGAACCGCTCGTGCCACTGATAAACGACCATTTTCTTTAGAGAATCGTTGCCAAAACATTTTTCCAACATTTCCAACGTTCGCGCACCATTAAATCCGTTTTTTACACAAAATTTAATACAAGTTCGTTGTTGCAAATTTAAATCCATTTCTAAAATTGTAAAAAATCGCCAACACACAAAGAGATAGATGTACTCTTGGCTTCGTAACTTTTGCAAATGTCAAGCTATGGCGCTAAGATTTAGAGGGAATATTAACAACAGATGTACCAACTTAATAAAAAAAACAGAACTCAAATCAGAACAATGGGAGCGCCAAACGATGGTTATTCCGGGAACTTTTTGATCAAGGTGGTATTTTAATGTTAGTCACTCAATTTCTGTTTAAATAATAAGTTTTTGGACATTTTTTTTTTTTGCATTTCCATTTATTTGTTATGAAATAATTTTTGGGCCTATCTCTTATTCCTTAAAAAAGTATCAACTTTTTTTTTTTAATGTCGACATATTTTACTAGTTTATAAAATAAAACATGATCTAATTAAGAAAATTACCAAGCCAAATATTAAATAAGAATTTTTTTTTATTACATTTATTACTTAAGAAAATTTTACCTTAAGATTATCTCCAGCTATCTTTTCACTACGTTTTAATCTAGCATCAACCACTCTCTTAATATCTCTCTGCAGACGTCTACCAAAATCTTTAAACATAGTTGATCCACCAGAGAGAACAATGTTATCATATAATGGCCGACGTACATCAATTGGACAATTTTGTATTACAGTATCCACCATTTCAGATATAGGTGTTGTAAAATCAGGATTTGAAAACTGTAAATTAACATTTAATTATAGAACCCCAATAAAATTAGAATTAAAAGTGCTTACTTCAGGATGAAAGAATATTTCTGGTCCTAGAAATCTTTCATATCCAACATCAACAGAAAATGGTTGTTTTGTAACACTGTTGATTCCTTCATATTTTCTCAACCATTTTGATGGTTCAGAATCATACTTTGCAAACTCTTTAGCTATGTCAGGACATATATATGAATAACGTTCTTTAATTGCTTTAGCTGTTTCTAAACTTTGTTCAGGTGGAATACCAATTTCTCGTTCTCTTAGTAATGACTGAATGAAATAAGTAATATTGCGGCCAGCTATTGGAATATGTTTGATACAACTCCCTATAACATAACCTTCTGCCTGAAAACATTATTGACTTTTAATAGCATATATAGGATTTTTCAATGGTGGGGGTATATAATTATTAACAGTCATATCTATTCAAAATAAACATAATATATATTATATTATTAAACATTACAAATTTTGGACTTTACTACAAAACAAAGTCTAATATCCTTTGTTTTGTTCATACAATTAAAAAAATTATTTTTAAAATTAGCTCCCTGGGGGTTATAATTTCCATATCCCCCCATAATTATGCCATTGTTTATTTTTATATCATTAAACTAATTAAATTTATTTATAATGTCATGAAAACTTCTTTTATGTTAACTATAATAATATTACTTCCAAAAAGAAAAAATGCAACGTTTAAGTTTTGTTTAAGTAAAATAAAATATCAAGATGGCTCTTTCTATAGTGTTCAGTAAGTAAGGAAATAGGTCAATTGTTATAAACAATGATAACAATAGAAATTTGTTTCTTTTTCTCGACGTGTTATATGTATGACTGCTGTAGTTAAAAAAATGCTATTTTTGTGCTAAAAATGATAAAAATAACAAAATATAGGACGATTTTTTTAACAGCTATTCATAAGACACTTTTATCCATTAGATTTCTCTTAAAATAATAATTATGGTAAGACAATTAAGGTTAAAAAACCTTTATGGTATAATTTAGTTTCATATAATTCTCGATTTATCAATTATCATAATTTTTTTTAATTCATCCTTTATACTTTATAAGGGTTTCAACTTTATTATTTTAAATGGCAATATACATATTTAATTACCTAATAAAATTTAAAAAAATGATATAATGACAACTAATTATAGGCAGAGTAATGTGTAATAATAAAAATAACATAACCCACACTTCACCTCTACTTTTTATATTAAAATAGTTATAACTTCCAAAATAATGAGTCTTAAGTTATCAGCAACCAGTCATTTTCTTAATTATATCATTAATTTTTATTTTATTAGCTAATTAAATATGTATATTGTCATTTAAAATAATAAATTTGAAACCCTTACAAGGTATGTGAGATGGAATAAAAAAAAATTAATAATTACCAAATCAAGAAATATATAAAATTAAAAAATATCAGAAAGAATTTTCTGAATATAATTATTACTTTAAGAAAATCGAGTGGCTAATATTATCATATTGGCAAATCATCCACTATACATCAACTTTATAAATTTTTATAATTTACAAATTTAGACCTAACATTTTGGAAGTTATAACTACTGATGGGAAATATCGAATAGTAACTATTGAACTATTTGATAGTCATTCAAAAAATATTCGATAGTTACACAATATATTCGAATAGTAAAACTATTCGATAGTTTATGCTAAAAATAAACTATTCGGTTATATAAAAACAATTTGAATAGTTATTCGATAGTTTAAAATATTTGAAAATGGCCATCACTAGTTTAAAATATAGAGTGGAGGTGAAGTATGGGTTATGCTATTTTTATCATTACACATTTCTCTGCCATATATATTTAAAAATGTTAATAACTTTTGAAATACTATTCTAATAATTATTTTTGACTAATCATTTATATTTAATAGCTAGTTAAATATGTATGTTGCCATTTATACAAATAAAATCGATACCCTTATAAGGTATGATATGAATTTAAAAAATTAAAATTAAAAATTAATAAATTGAAAAATATATAAAATAAAAAAAAATTTTCTGGATATAATTATTACATTAACACAAATCGAGTGACTTATATTATCATATTGATGAATCACACACTTAACATCAACTAATAACTTTTTATAATTTTTCCATAAAAATTATAATACTTAATTATTCAATATCAATTTCATACTAAATTTAATTACTATACAAACTGTTTTATAATAGTAAATATTTATTAATTTATTACACTTATAAATCATAAAACTCATGATCAGGATATAAATAAAGAAATAGGAGTACTTGTTGCTTATGAAATAATTTAGTAATTCTTAATCAATATAAATAAAAATTAAACACTACTGATTTGCATTAAAGTGTTTCTTATAATAGTGATTTTAATTACTGTCATATATCCACATATGTCACATCTCCATTGTGCTGGGTCTTAAATATTTATTTTTCACTTAAAATGAGTATTTACAAACTCATAACACTTAATTTAGTAAAATAACAAATATTTTTATGTTAACTGATGTATTTATAAATTATGACATGTTTGGAATAGGGAATCACATATCTGCGATACTTGAAAATAAATTAATTTAAATAAGTTTAACTAGAGTTAAAACTCAAATCAAGATTTTAATTGTAAAATTTATATCATAATGAGTAAATCTATGACTTTGGGGTCTAAAAACTTAAAAAAAAAAAAATTATATGTGAATGTATATATACATTTAATTAAAAATGACAATCACTTTAATAATAGTGTAATGTTTAATAAAATTATAAATTAATATCAATAATATTTCTGTATTTAAATCTAACCAGCTTGATTTTTACACTGAAATATAAATATTAGAATTATTAATTTTTGAAGTATTTTAATATTTTGAATTATAATTTGGCTAAAAAAAAATGCTTAGGGATAAACAAAAAAAATTCTTATAAATAAAATATAATTGTAATATATGTAGTTAATTTTGTAAGATTAAATCTTATATTGTGATCTCCGTAATGGAACAATCAAATATTACAATTTCTATTCAAACTAACACACTCATAGAACTGACTACAACAATCACCAAAACAACCACTTGTGGTAAAAAAAAATGTGTAAATTATAAATTAAAATACATTATACTTAAAATAATATATATTTATGTAGGAAATGTTACAAATGAGCATAAAGTTACAGAAAAATTAAAAACATTAACCCAACATATAGTTAATGGATATGTATACCAAAATGGAATTTTAGAGTTAGACTTAAGAAAGTCATTTACACCTGAAGTATTAAGAAACAACAGATTGAATTTTAATCACCCAAAAACAAATAACACTAATCTCATTGCATGTGCAAATCATATTGACAGTCACAATTTAACAGCTTATAACATGAATACTAATTTTTCTACAATAACTAAGAAACCACAACAAAAATGTAACTAATACTAATATGTTAATATTTTAGTGTTATAATTTTATAACACAAATTTTATGAAAATGTAGCAAATTTTACTACACAAAGTGTTCAGACTAACCCATGGATGAAAAATGCTTCGACAAGTATGAATAATTTAGTAACAAAGCCACTAAAATCAATGTTTTTTGATAGAAAACCAGTTAAAGGTAAGGTTTTTTAAATTTATATAATTAGTTATTATTAAATAAATTTATAACAATTTTACTTTTATGTATTGCTTTTAATGGTTAGGAGAGATCCACCCAGACAGTACAGGTTTTACAAGATTTTAAGAGATTTTTTAAAAAGAGAGCTTGTATTCTTCAACATGATACCTAAAAACTAATATATTTTGAACATTTTTTATCAAATTACTAAGATCAAATATTTTCTTTCAGATGAAAATAATGAAACTTGTTCAGAACATAAATTGTTTGATACCAAAATCGATAACTAATAATGAATAAAAGTTTATTTAAATAAATATGCTAATTTTATAATATATAAAAATATTATTGCTTAAAATGAACTTACAACAGGTATAATATGAGTAACACCATCACCACTGTCAACCACAAGGCCTGTTAAAACACGCTCGTGTAGTGGCCTTGATTTCCAAGAAGCAGATAATGCTAATACTGCTTGCACAGCGATATATAGTCCAGGAACATTAAATGTCTCAAACATTATTTCTATTTAAAACATACAATTAATTAACTTCATTTTAGTATGTGTAATCATAATTAACCTGCTGTATATTCTCGGTTTTCAGGCGTATTCAATGGTGGTTCAGTGAGCAAAAAATGATGATCTTCAGGTTCAGCACGTAAATATTTAAAAATACAATGTTCAAGAAATCTTTCCATTAAATCCCAATCTTCAATTAAACCATGTCGTACAGGATACTTAAGTTAAAAAATATATACATTAATTTTAAAATATTAAAACTATTAGCTAAAAATTTAACAATACCTTAACAGAATATCCTTTAGCATCAAATGCTTCATCTCCTATATAAAAATCTAAATCTTCTACGCCCTTAGTTAATCTCCGAACAGCTTGGTCGCCAACCTTAGCAGTTTCTTTGATGGCAATAGCTGAAGGTATTATCATTTGGGGTTCTTTGTTGGGAGCAAATCCTAATTTTGTGTACCTTTAAAATAAGTATATATTAAAAACACTTTTTTTATATACAACTAAAATACTAAATCTTACCCAGTACCAACATCTATTACACATGGAGGAAGGCGACCTAACATCTTGCGTAGTACTCTTTTGAAACGTCTTAATTAGATTATAATCAAAAACTTAAAACATAAAATAAATATTGCACTTACAATAATATATAAACAAACAACATAAGATTATTAACAGTAATTACTAAATAATTATGAAAATTCAACGTTAATTATATCAACTATTCTCTACCTAGTATATAAACGTTATCAATTTTCAAGCCGAACTCTTATGATGAGTCAATGATAAACTCTATAAAAATTAGTGATGGGCATTTTCGAATATTTTAAACTATCGAATAGTATTCGATAGTTTTAAAAAACTATCGAATAACTATTCGAATTGTTTTTGTACAACCGAATAGTGTGTTTTTAGCATAAACTATCTAATAGTTTTTAAACTATGGAATAGTTTTTAAAAATATTCGAAAGGGCTAGCGAATGGTTTCAAAAAATATTCGATTAGTTCTAATTAAAATTTTTATGAAGTACAATTATTAATTATAATAAGAAGATAATTAACGAATACTTAAAATAAATTTTTATACAATTAATAACAGTAAAAAGTACCATTTTATTTATTTTTAGTTTGTGAGTCGTTGGTAAAAACTGATAAATATGGGTTGAAAATTAAAAAGCTGTTCTTTTTTCCGATGACTAATGATACATTTTCAGTTTTATCGGAAAGGTTTGTTCTATGAGCAACAGAACTATTCGTAAATACTAAAGTCTTATTTTACACTTAATACCTTGTATACTGTTCTTAGTCTAGCATTACCTGCTCTTTTGTCATATAAAGGCATAACACCGATAAAGAGGACAGCGCTTTTTAACACTGACGATCTAAATAGGATTGTTTTAAAACTGTTTATTCAGGGTACTAAGATTATAAATAGGATACAATTAATAATAAAAAAAATTAGTGATGAGCATTTTCAAATATTTTAAACTATTGATAAATTATTCGAACTGTTTTTATACCACCGAATATTTTATTTTTAGCATAAACTATCAAATATTTTAAAAACTATTCGAATGCAGGTACCGAATAGTTTTAAAAAATATTCGAATAGACTATCGAATAGTTTTTAAAACTATTCGAATATATTGTGAACCATCGAATAGTTCGAATAGTGGACAACTATCGAATAGTTCGATAGTTACTATTCGATATTTCCCATCACTATTAAAAATTATTATCAAGGAGTATTAAAATATTGTAAAAATTATTTTTTGATAAGAACCTTAAAATATAAACATTACTCTTACTTATCATTTAAAGATATAAATTAACATAATATCAGTAAATATCTAGTTTATTATTTTTATTACTGAAATGACATTTTGAATATCAGTGGAACAAATATTTGTCATTCATTTTTGGATACGTTCATTAACATTTGAAATCATACATGAAATTTTGATTTAAATGAGAATTATCCTTTAAATTAATTACCTTATTCAAATAAGTACTTATTAAATATTTAAAAAATGGATGAACCATCAACAAGTTCTGATGTTTGTAAGAAACTATCATATTCAATACATTCTTATTCAAGTTACCTGCCAAATTATATTCCAGAGTAAGGCCTTATATTTTTAATTATAATTTGACAATATAAACCAAATCAATCAATTATTATTAATGTTTATAATTTCGTCTAATTTTTAAATTAACTTATTTAAACATAGAGGAGAGTTATTTTTAAACCAAAAAAAACCAGTTAATTTTGGAATTAAATATCTGAAACAACATTGTGTATATAAAGGTCAATTTATTTTAAGACTGATAAGATAAAAATTATGATTTTTAGTAACATTGATCCAGTCTATTTTATTATTTTAAGAAATTTATAATCTTTATAAATATTTTTTTTAAATGTTTAATACTATAATATAGTTATGTAACTATATAAAAATATTTAGTATCATTTTAATCTTAAATAGATGTATTTTATTTATCAATTTATAATAGTTGTTGTTTTTGTCCATATAAAAGAAAAGGAAAAATCACATACTTATTATTTAGTAATAATTTTTAATGTTATATTCAATGCATAAACTATTTGAAAGTAAAAAGTCAATACTGTACATCATCTACACTACAAGTCAACTAATCCATGATTATGCAGATATTCTTTTATATGAATATATATGCTAACGCATCTTGTAAATAAGCTGTTAATATGACATTATAACTGTAAATAGCTAGTCTTATTATCGTTGAATAATTATAAGTCTATCTAAGGATCACATCTTTTATCTCCATTTATTTCTCTTACTTTCTATCTATTAAGATTTATTAATCTGTTTTTTTATGAAATATTATATTGGTAAAATTATTAATATTAACATAACTAGTATAAAAAAATTGTTTTTCTAATTGTCTTCATTCTTCTTATATAGAAAATGTTGTCTTATTAACTGTTGGTTTATTTTACCCTTATCTTTTTTTTCGACTCACTTTAGTAATATAATTGGAATGATATTATGAGCAGTTTATTTTAACTTAATAAATTCATTATTATTTTGAAATATAATTATCATAAGTAATTATTGAAAATATTAAATTTTTATAGTGAATAAAATCTTGAGTTTTTGTTTTCTGTGGTGAAACCCCATTGCTGTTTTCTTTACATGCACAAACTTTCTTGATTATTTTTATCAGTATTATTATAAATTTTTTTTGCTATCCATTTACAATATTTGTAAAATGGAAAATACGTTCAATCTATTTGTAGAAGTTTACTATAGTCTGTTGTGTGGCCGCCCAGTTCGTCAAGATTTGTGGTGTAATATAATTTTATTTATTAAGTCCTAATTTTAAATTTAGTAGTTAAGTTATATATGGAATGTTTAATTTTAAGTATATGTCCTATGGTCATTGCACAAGACCAGACCGGCCATAAGCATCCCTAGAATTAAGTAAATATTTTTTCCTTCTTTCTATTTACATAAATAAACTGTTTCCCTTTGATTCTCTAAATATTTCCTATTATATTTAAATAAAGTTTTCCTGTGAGGTGTTCTGCCCATCGGTTAATCAAGTCTGTAAGTGCATATGTATATTAAGTTGTCTACCTTCTTAAATTTTAAGGCTCTAAGTTTTGTTTTTATTCTTTCCTATTAATATTCAATTTGTTTTCGAATTTTAATTGTTTCATAATAATATAATATCATAAAATTGAGTGCATTTTTTATTGTAATAAAGGTTATAAATATATATGGAAGAAGTTTATTATTTAAAAATAACTGAGATTTTGAATATGGATGGATGCAATATTTCCTTTGTTTATAACTTTCCAAATAATCATCTCTCAGTAAATTAATCTTTTAATCCAACATTAAAAATGTCATGAAATTTTTTCACCCGAAGTGCTAAATTTAAATTACACGGCCATCTTTTTTTCCCAACTTTGAATATAAGACAATTTTATAGTTAAAATTAAATGTTATATATATATATAAAATACTTTTAATAACTAATAATTTAGGTTAGGAATTATATACATTTTGTTAAACTGTTCTGAACATACTATCAGCCAGTACAAATTTTTATTAACTAACTTCAAAACTTTTATAGATTATAGTTTTGGGGGATTATGGGTGCCATAATTCTATGACAAAATTGCACAAACTTGGAACCCTTTGAAGTTACAAACTAATTTTATAATTACATATAAATCCTAGTCTTACTAATGAAATAAGTAATATTGGCTTATATTTTAATATTCAGTTTTACAACTCATAAATGAATTAAATAATACTTAATATTTGGTAGAATAATTCTTAATAGTGTGCTTATTTTAAGGAATATTTTACAAAATAATCAAGAAGATCAGAGTTCTAGATGGTCATCAATGTCTAATAGTCCACCACAAGTAATATATTAATTTTAATCAATTTTCTTGTATTTTATATTTAATATTTTACTCAATAATATTGTATTTTTTTTTAGTACTTAATTCTTAAATTAAAAAATACCTCTATTGTAAAATATATAAAATTTGGAAAGTACGAACGACCTCATGTATGTAACTTGAAAAGATTTAAAGTGTTTGGTGGATTAGAAGATGATACAAAAATTGAACTATTGTATAGGTATGAAAAAAATTGTATTATTTACAGGAAAATCTTTTTAATTAAAATGTACCTATTATATAGTGGACTAAGTAATAACAGTGATTTAGAAACATTCAATCTACGTTTTGAATTTGAAAAATACTCAATGATACCCATAAGATATATAAGAATAGAACCACTTGAATCTTGGGGTTCAAATTTTAATTACAGTCTTTGGTATGTAGAATTACATGGTCTTGATGATCCAAATACAGTCTCAAATGAGATTATTAAATTTTATAGAGTAAGTTTACAATTTATATATAATTTATAAATATGTTTATTTTAAATTAATATTAATCAAACACTATTTGATGTATTTTAGTATCGTGAAGAAATATTAATACGTTTGTGTTTGAAACATTTTCGACGTTGTCATTATGACTCAGCTGTTTCTGCTTTATTACAAAATTCCAAAATAACTTTGGAACATCCTTTATTATCTGATCTTTTTAATATAATAGTTACTGATGGAAACTATGAATTGGCTGAATCTTCAATGGACAAAGCAATAACAGGTATACTGAAAAAATGATCTAAATTTTAGATCTTAATTTTTTAAACAATTAGTTTTATTTATAGTTATTTAAATAGTTTTCAAAATCAACTCTCATTAATATCTTGTTTTGATTTATGATATATAAACCTTACCTCTTCTTCTTCTTCTTCCTCGCCTTAAATCCCAACTACTTGGGATCCCTTATACTAAACTTCCACTTGACACAATCTCCCACATCATCTAGGTTCAAATCAGCTGTCCTCATATCGCATTCAATAGGATGCCTCCGTCTCTTTTTTGGTCTTCCTCTACCTCTTCTTCCTTCATCATTCATTTCTATAACTGTTCTAACATACTCCCTCTTATATGCTCATTCCTTATCCTATCTTCTCTATTCACTCCACTCATCCACCTAAGCATTCTCATCTCTGCTACACTCATTCTCTGCTCTACTTTCTTATCAACCACCCAACACTGAACCATACATCATAGCTGGCCTCACTACAGTCTTATATAATTTACCTTTCAGCCTCATTGGAATTCTTTTATCGCTTAAGACGCCAGACACTTCTCTCCACTTAACCACCCGCACTTAATCTTGTGTCTTACATTCTCGTCAATTCCACTGCTTTTTTGCCTCACACAAAATACTAGCTCCATTATTGACTTACGAGGTATAAATCCAAACTGGTTTTTAGATACCAATGTCTCATTTCTTATTCTCTTGTCTATTACCTTTTCCCAAATTTTCATACTATGCCTCTATAATTTCCACACTTCTGTATGTCAACTTTACCTTTAAATATCAGCACTACAATACTATTCCTCCATTCATTTAAAATTTTCCCTTCTGATAAGATTTTAATTATAAGTTCCTTCAACTACCTTATACCAACACCGTCTTATATTTTCCATACTTCTACTGGCACTTCATCTGGCCCTATTGCTTTATTCTTTTTCATTGATGCCACAGCCTCCCATGCCTCTTTCTCATTAATTTAATCTACCAGTCCCTCATTCCACAAGATATCCTCTAATATCTCTTTTGTGTATTCCTCATTCAGTAATTTTTCTAAATACTCTTTCCACCTTTTTTTCACATCATCATTTGAAAGTACCTTATTATTAATACTTTTTATAGATCTTATATAATGATAATCTTTAGACCTTTTCTCTCTTACTTTTGCAAGTGTATAGATTTTTTTCTCGCCTTACTTACTGCACACTTGGCTTCTTTGCACAAGCGTTTTTACTCCATCCAGTTTTCTCTCTTATTCCTCTTCTGCCATACTTTGAACTGCTTTTTCTTACTTTCTATGATTTTTTGAACGTTTTTTACACAACTAGCAAATCTATTCCACACATCATTTATGTCTCCCTTGACATTCCACACCATCATCTCTTTTAACGTCTTTACAAACTCTTTTTCATTTTCCCCTTTCAATTTCCACCACCGGATCTTCAATTTTTCCCCCGTGTTCCTTCTATTTTCATATATTCTCTTTCCGGTACACCACAACTCCATTACCATCAGTCTATGTTATGTAGTTACACTCTCGCCTGGTATAACTTTACAATCTTTTACTCGCTTTACACTCTCTCTCTTCAACATAAAATAATCAATCTGTGATCTATTCCTCCTACTCTTATAAGTTATATAATGTTCTTTCCTCTTTCTAAAATAAGTATTATCCACAGAAACATCATACAATACTACAAAATCCAGGATTCTTTCTACAGCCTCATTCTTCCCACTAAAACCATACCCTCCATTTACTCTTTCATATCCTCTCTTCTCATTACCTACATATCCATTCATATCTCCACCTATCACCATATCCTCATTGCCATTCCTTACATCACCTCATTCATCTCTTTCCAAAACACTTCCTTGTCACAGAGAATACAGAGAATGAACCTTACGAATTAAAATAATAGTTTATTTGAGTACTTTCTATAATAATCATTAAAAATTTGTTTTATGTAGTATTTAATGTAAAAAAAATATATGTAAAATTGTAGTATATAATAATTTTTTACTAAAATATAACTAGATTTGTTTAAATATTCTATTCTAGTTATTTGCACATATATATAGATAATCCATGATTTTTTTACTAGTCTAATAACTTTTGATCTACTAAATATTTTGCATTTCTTTTTTTAGTTTCGATGCAAAGCTGATAAGGTATTAATTTTATTATGATGTATTTTTCTTTTTTAGTGTCTGTCACCACTTTTTCTCAGCTCTCACCAAACCTTTCAATGATGTGTCAAAAGATCACAAATTGTATCTAGTTGAAGACATTGTCCTTAAAAATTGAAAAAAAATTACCCTTGTTCCCTGTAAAAGGAGGAAATCTTAAAAAACAGAACAATTTTACACATTTTTTTTTCTTAAAACTGTCATAACTTTTTCAAAAATAAACAAATCAAAATAATTTCAACTTAACTTTTGAAAATGTTCAACTATATCAACTATCACACATTCTATGTTTTCAACAGTATGAGCTCATATTTTTCCTCCTCGTCTTTTTCTGATAGTTGAATCTGTGGCTTCAAAATTTTCAATTCAAACTTTAGTTATATTTGATATAATTATATTAGTTGATTTTGAATATTACTTAAATTCAAGCATAATTAATAGTGTTAAAGTTATAATAGATTTAAGAGTTTATTTTGATAGTAGATTAAACTTCAAAGAGCATATAAACCACATATTAGTTTTATTGTATTTATATTTCTAGAAGGTTTGTTAGAAAATTACATGGAACGTCAGAGTTTTAAACCTATTTGGGAAATGGTTAAAGAATTTGATTATTCTAGTAAAAAAAGACCATGTATGCGTGGTGGCCATCAAATGTGTATTGATTCCCAAACCAGTATTATTTATTTACTCGGTGGTTGGAATGGACATAAAGATTTATCTGATTTATGGAGTTTTAATATCACAACAGGAGTTTGGAGATGTATATCTAATAATGTAGAAGAATGTGTAAGATTAGCATAATCCATACATAAAATGATGCATTATTTAAAACTATTAAATATTTCAGAGTGGACCAAGTCCAAGGTCATGTCATAAAATGTGTATTGATATAGAGAGGAAACATATTTTTGTTTTAGGACGATTTTGTGATATTCAATTTCATCCTAATAATTATCCAAAGGTTGATTGATTATTTTCATTTTTATTTATATTTATATAAAAATGTATTCATACATTTCTAATTTTTTATTTCATTAGAGTGATTTTTATGTATATGATATTGAACAAAATCATTGGACTTTAATTTGCACTGATACTAGTAGAATGGGAGGTCCTAAATTAATATTTGATCATCAAATGGTTATGGATTCTATTTCCTCAACAATTTATGTATTTGGTGGAAGAATAGTTGCTTCATCTTCTAGGTATGAATATTAATGAACAATTTTATTGCAGAAGATATTATTTTTAATTATATTTTCTAGGTGTACAGATGAATCTCAAAAAAACAATCCTGACTTCTCAGGATTTTACAAGTATCATATTCCCACAAATACTTGGACTTGTATTTTACCTGACACATTTCATGAAGTAAAAGTTCAAGATGGAATTCTTATTCATAATCCACAAACTGTTGCATCACGTGGTGGTCATTCCATGCTTCTACATCCTGTATACTAAATAAATTATTTTAACACCTCATGGTATTTTATAAATTCTTTCTATAATTTCATAGAAATTAAGAAGAATATATATTTTTGGTGGTCAACGACAGAGATGGGCACAAAAATGTCCGGAATTTTTATGGTACGATATTAATACTGGTATAACTCAAGCTATACCTCTACCATCAACTGTTGAAAAACCTCCAATGGGATATACTCAACGAGCAACTATAGATATTGACCTTGATGAAATATATGTTTTATCTGTATGTAATAGTGATTTGATTAATAATTGATTAAAAATTTAATGTACTTTTCAACTATTAGAAAATTTATATATATAATAATTAAGTAAAGGTTCTAGAAAATTATAAAATTTAAACTAGTTTATTTATGCTATGAAATAATTTTATTTAAAAATAATTTATTTCTAGAGTCTTAGTAAAGATAAAGACCGCAGAGAAGATAAAGTTCAAAATGCTTTTTGGATATATTTTATCAAACAAAATAAATGGTATAAATTTAAATTCATGTATAAAATGAATATAATTGTCATTTTTTATTATTATATTTTCTAGGGTGTGTATTTATAAAAATTATAATTCAGATGAACAATATTGGGATAAAATGCAGCATATAGAACCATGTCCTCGTTTTGCATATCAACTAGTATATGATCATACTAATAAAGTAAATAGATCTTAGATAATTAGAGTTATATTATACATATATTATATATATTAATTTATATTTTTATGTACCACTCATAGAATAAATACATATTTATTTGCTGGAAAAATTTTTATAAGATTAATATAAAAAAATTAATTTACATAAATAATCTAAACTAATTAATTTATGTTAAAAATAAGGATATCTTTGTTACTATATACTATTACTACTAACAACAACTTTTCGCTATGATATTAATCTATAATTTAGATTACAACTCAGTAATGTTTATTTCCTGGTAATGTTATACTTCATATGTTTTATATTACAGGATTATTCAAAAGTCTCCATTAAATAAAAAAAAACTAATTATCTTTCAACTCGTGCTAATTATCCCTATTAAATTCAAATTATCTTTGTAAAATGACTCAAAATCAATTTTATAATGTTAGTTACTTTAATAAGCTAAAAAGTAATTTTCAGAGAAATCTATTTTTCAACTTTACATTAGCTAATGAACAATTATAAATAAATGTTATTTTTTTAATTGAAAAATAATTATAATTCATAATATTTATTTTTCAATTTTTAGGTACAGTACTTATTTGGTGGTAATCCAGGAAAGCCAGACGCTCAAAATTTAAGGCTTGATGATTTTTGGAAACTGAGTATACATAGATGTACTCACCAAGAACTTAGCCGTCAATGTAAGCTGCTTATTCGGAAACACAAGTTAGTAACTTAATTACATAATAAGTGCTTTTATAATGATAGCACCCTCACTGTTAAGCTTTTCAGTTATTATAAATTTATTTTGTGAAAATCAAACAAGCCATTCTTAATTTAATATTATTTTCATTTATCTATAGTATATTTATATAAATGAAATGTCACTCATTTATAGGGTTTAACAGGGTAATATTTTATTACAATTTTGTGATTATACATATATATGTAGCAGTGATGAAGATGGTTGTGTCTCATGCCCACACTCCATAGACAACAATATTCATTTCTAAAGTGAAATGAGAAATAAAAAGTTCAAAATATGGAATTTTGTAGATTTTTTACTATGGATCTACTATTATGAAATTCTGGCTGATATATAGTATTGGGTCTATGGGATATTCTATCATGGCATAATAAAATTAATATTACAATCTTGATTTTTTTAATATTGTTATAAAATATTACAGAAAACACTTATTATATTGATTATTTAATGAAAATATTGATGATTAAATTTACTCATTACATCTTAGATTTACATAGTATTTGGATAATTTTAAAAAATAAGTTTAAAATATCAATTAAATGTAATATTCTTTTCTTTTACATTTTTAATGCAATCTTGTATTGAAATAATTTCAATATTCCAATTAGATATCAATATTAAAATATTTTCAATTTTCGCTTCAATGCAAAGCCGAGAAGGTATCTTTTTACTATGTGTTGTTTTTTTTTTTTTTTTTTTTTTTTTTTTTTTTTTTTTTTTTTTTTGTGTTACCACTCAATATCAACTCTCACTGGACCGATTTTGATGAACAATACGACAAAATATCACAGATTGTATCTATTAAAGACATAACCCACAAAATTTGAAAAAATTTTCCTGGTTACCCGTAAATGGGGAAAATCTCCAAAAAAAATTACAAATTTACAAATCGCTAATTTTCAAAACTTTTTCAATAATGATTATATCAATATAATTTTTTTTTATATAGATTCATAATGACTTCACCTATCATCTGATATATTTTTTTTATAAATCTGCCAACAGGGGGGATTTCAAACGCCAACTTTTTCAACTTAAATTTTGAAAATTTTCCGGAAATACTGATACTTTTATATATACCTTAAATTAAAGCTTATGCAATATACATTAATTTGAAAAAAAAAATTTGACCTTTGGATTTGTCTTCATGGTAAAAATGACTACCGTATTCAAAAATAGGCTATTTTTGTGTTAAAATTCTGGGCTTTGTATTTTATTTTAAAAAACCTGACAAGGGGAGTACACTAATTTTCATAAATATTATATAAATCAAACTGATATAGCATAGAAAGTTAAACTTATTCCTTTTTTTCCTTTTTTTAAGTCAAGAAAAATAACATTGAAATTTGAATTAGCTTAAATTCCCATTTTTTCAATTTACGGAAGTGATGTACGGTTGCCTAATCGGTACGACTTGTGTCTTACATCCTTGGGATACAAGGTTCCAACCCATATATTGCAAGGAATTTTTTGCATTTTTTTTTAATTCTTTTTATGTTAGAATAAATTTTTAACTCCTTTGATTTTTATATAATTTAGATTCAATAGCTTCAATAATGATCAAGGATCCCATCACTGTAGTCCCCCTTGTAAGAAGAAATTTCTTATTCTTATTAAAATTATTTTACTATATTTTAGGTTTTAGCTTCAATGCAAAACTGAGAAGGTATTTTTTTATGACTATCATTTATTTTCTCTGTTCTTATTTGTCCTACTTTTTCAACGATACGTCAAATTATTACAATTCGTAATTATTAACGAATCAAGTTTGATGTGATAGGTTTGAACTACAATATTAAATAATTTTGTAATTTAATAATTTTTTTACTCTAAATTATTCTCTCTCTATGGTTTCAATCCGTAGATTGGTTTGCAGCCATCTTCCAGCCTTCCCTCTTATCCGCCTTCCTTTTCATTTCCACATATGAGTTACATCCATGGTCCTTTATTATCTGTTGAATGAATTCCAATCTTGGTCTACCCCTACGGTTCTTTCCTTCTACTGTTCCTTCTATTATCAATTTTAACAATCCTACGTGTCTCATTATATGACCTATCCATTCGTTGCGTCTTCTGACTACGTTATTCCATAGTAACTTTCCATCTGATGTTCTTTCCAGTACTTCTACATTGGTTACTCTGTCCATCCAACTTATCCTTAGCATCCTTCTATAGCACCACATTTCAAATGCTTCAAGTCTTTTTTTTTCTTCCATTACTATTGTCCAGGTTTCACACACGTACAGAGCAATGCTCCATACATACGTCTTTAATAGGTTTTTTCTTATTTTTAGACTCATGCTTGTAAATTATTATAAATTAAATGTTCTAAATTTTTTGATAACACGTTGCTATATAAATCATTTCTAAAAAAAATAATTGTTAATTTCTACTAAATTAACAATAGATTTTTACAAATATAATCAAATTTTATATTACACTCTATTGAGTAGATCTTTTTAACAACTTTTTTTTATTGTTTTTTTATAGTTAATGTAAATTATTAAAATTAATTCAGTTAATATTTCAATTGTAGAATCTTTTTAAACACCAAAAGTTACTAGGAAATGATTACTATTATTTCTATTTAAGTTATCTATTACGATAAAAATCAAAAAAAATATTGAGCTTTTCTGATAAATTTATTATAAATAGTAGTTATAAAATATCCAGACTGTATATTAATCTTAATGATTCAATTTTTTTAATTCTTATAAAATTTTCTATTAATTGATGTCAATTTCAAACTTGTAAGTTGAAATAAAAGCTATGGTAATAAATTAATTTGTTTATACTGTTAAATTTCCCATAAATAAACTTTAAAAGATTAAAAAAATTGATTAAATATGTCATTTTCCTTATTTTTTACATATTAAAAATCAAAATCAGTATTAATTTAAAACAATTTTTTTTTGTTCTTAATTATTTTTTTATATGTAATTTCTTATTTTTAAATAATAAGTAATAATATTAAAACTTGGGAGTGATAGAAAAAGTGTAATTGCACATTTGAAAATAACGCGAATAGCTGATTTTGAAAAGTATATTTTTGTTTCTGATGAAAGTTCCTTGTAGTCTAGTATATAAAACTTATAACTTTGTTATAAGTAACAAAAATTTTTTATTGAAAAGTATTACATCAAGCCCTATACATTTTTATACGTGTTAAAAGTAATGAAATATACAACTACTTTATTATTATTATAATATTAAATTATTGAATATCAGTTTCATACTAAATTTAATTACTATAATTATTATTTATTCATATATTATAATTATAAATCAATTAACTAATCGGAATAAAATTAAGGGAATAAGAGTTATTGTAGATTTTGAAATAATCTACCAATTTCTTAAAATTAAACACTATCTAAAAATTTGCATCGAAGCATTTCGTATGATAGTGATTTTAATCACTGTCGGATATCATTGTATATATACTTGACCCAACTATACCACGTCCATACTTAGCCGCGACCCCACTGTACTACTGTTTTTTTTTTTTTAACATTATGTTGCTCTAACTTTTTAAATAATGTATGAATCAATTCTATTCTTTAATGATAATTACTTAATATATACCTCTTTCATTCGACATACTTTTTTTAAATTAAATTAATATTAAAATTTCTTATAAAATTTGGCAATTTCAAAAGTTTACCTTTATTTCTTATTGTTACAATTCTTTATCATTTAATGACAAAATGAGGGTATTATTTTTAATAACTCTGGTATATTTATTACTCATAATTAAGTAAATTATATTTTATCCTTTTTAGTAATTTGATGTAAATAGTCTTAGTTAATATCTTCACTTGTAAGCTATTGCATATAACATAGACAATGAAAAAGCTATGCATATCAGAATAATTGTATCCAACCTGGGTACTTATGCACCAAGGCAAGATACAATTTAGTTAAAGCGACTAAAGCAATTAAGCCAAATAAAAAAATATAATTGAATTATGTGTAAATTATGTGTAAATTTTTAGATTTCAAGAACTTAAAAAAAAAGACAAAGTAGCTGCAATGCAGTTTTTACAAACCTCAGTTTCAGAGCAAATAGATCATTCAGATTTAGCCCAAACGCAAGAAGTATGTTTTTAATTAAAATATCACATGATAGGTCTTACTTTAATATATTACTTTCACTGTAAATTTATTTTAATAACACTTGACCTAAACTCAAATATATCTTGTTTATTGTAACAATTTTTTTCTTTTTTAATTGTACATTATTTTAATAATATAATATGTTCTTAAGGTTTTTCTTTTTTATTTAACTAGTTTCAGGAAACGGCAGCTTTATTGTTTAAGGATGATAATCTAACAGGTGATATTACTGAACAAGTACATGAATGGCGTTGTAATTTGTTTGATAAACTATGTGATTTTTTCCCGAAATCTATGGTCCAACCTAAAGAAAATTTAACTGATATAATACCTTTATAATGTATAACTATCCGACAATTAATTTTAAAAATATATTTCTGATAAAATAAAATAGTTTAAAGATTAAGTTAATCATAGCCTATATATAATGATCAACTGTTCCAAATGTAAAGAAATTAAAACATATTTTTTTACTCCTAAATTTAATTTCTATATTCATGACTTTAAATACCAAAATAAATTGGTAATACATTTAGTGTTATGATGATATTAGTAAATGACTATTGTAACATTGAGTTCATAAAATATTTATATTTAATATTGTATAGCTCTAAATTAAATTATTTTTTTCAATTTTACACCATCTTTGTATTCATTAGTTATAATTAACCTATAAATATGTGTTATAAAAATAGAAAATTTTTATATTAAAAACACAATTAAAATTGTTACAATATTCAAATTATTGTAAATATTAAATGCATTTTGACTTAAGTAATTATAGAAATTGATCTTATAAATTATTTATTTACTTACAGATTTTATTATAACAGTGTTTATAATGGTAAATGTTAATCCTTTGTTATGTTATCATTGATCTCTTTAAAATTATTTGATTATTTATTTTAATTTATGTAAAATTTATTATTGATATGTATGAATTCTATTATTAAAACATTAAAATAAATATAGTATTGCTCTTGTATAAAAAGTTATTAAGTAACCATTTTATATCTTATAATCATTGGAAAATAAAAATATTGAAGTTTAATATTATTAATTTGTAAAATCATATCGAAAAAAGAATTTAGATTAAAAATCCTAATTTTATAAAACTAAACAATAGTCAAAATCATGAAAATTATACAATTGTGATGTTATATTATATTTTCTTAAATATTCGATTTAAACAATATTTAACTGTTAATTGTATGCTAGCTCCTCGCATGATATCTCCGACAAAGGTTCCAAGATTTTTCAAATTATAAGATTATGAGCAAAGAAAAACCATCATCAATATGTGATCTTAGCTTTATACACAAATTGCCTGAATTTTGGAGGAGCTGAACACCTTCAAAATTAATATAAACCAATAAATTAGATATAAGCCTTTCAGAAAAATTATGTGAAATTAAGCCTAAATCTTAACCCCAATATTATGGTTCTATTAACTCCCTTTTCAATATTAGATCATTAAGAATATAATTCATTTAAATACTTCGCAATTCTAATAAACTACACGACTCTTATTTATTTAGTATCGTTGAAAACTATCAATATCAGAGTAATATATTAAATTTATTAAGTGTTGTTAACATAATAGAGACTTAATACAAACATATAAATAGGGGCGTCGTCAGATTTCAATTAAAAAAGTGCTGTTAATATTCTTATAACAAATATTCTCATATTCTTCGAATTCATACAGCTGAATTCGTTCATTTTCTTTATTCCTCAATTTTTAAAGGTAGCAGTTCCTAGCTTCGTTCTTACAAAAAGAACTCGTCCCAGGAATCCATTCTTTTTAGAACGAATTTTTTCCAAGATTGTATTATATAGTAACTGTTTCATTTTATGATTTTCAGGACCATTACAAAGGAGGGCGAAAAATACCTAAGCCCAGGCGCTACTTTAATGGAGCACAAAAATTAATAATTTAGAAAAATATTTTAATGATTTAGAAAGTCCTTATCTTATAACAATAATTAATAGAAGTAATGTATTATTTTATTATAAGGACAAGTTGATTATATTTTCAATGATAAAAAGTAATTTAATTATTGGAAAAATATGATGGCGTATCACAAAATGGTGTTTTCGATCATATCCGCCGCTGATCTATATTGTTTTCAGTACATAAAAAAAAACTTAATAATATAACAAAATTTGTTTTTGTTTACTAAAATAATACGTGATCGAAGATTAGCTACCACAGCAGACCCCGTGTACGTCACACAGTGGAATGAAACGCCGATTTAGGCGGCCAAAAGTATCATTTTTTAAAAGTCACTTAAATTTTTTTTTTTTAGCAAAACACATTAATATCATACTTAAGGGTTTTAATACAAATTTTCAAGGGTATAACTTGATTTAGTGAAGGTGTAGAGCTATTTTAATGTTATACTTCTAAAATTTATCCGTATTTTCAGTTATTTTGAGTTTATTTTTGTACATTTTTTTTTATGCCTTAAAACATAATTTAAAATTAAAAAATTTTTTTATTCCTATTAAAAAAGATATCCTTTTTCAAATGAAAAAGAAAAAAAAAGATTTTTTTTTATTTTTGTGGAATTAAACATATTTATACTTAAAAAAAAATCGATTTTTTTCGTTTTTTTCTCTAGTTTGCTCGTTTAAAGAGATTAACTAAAAATTACGCAAAATTACACGTTAATCCATACATGTGGCTTGTAGAGCAAGTCATTAGCTATACTATGAAAAAAAAAAATTTTGCGCTCGATAATTTTTGAACTGTACATACTGCACTTACCTAGAATAAACGAGTATTTTCTAAAAATCTTATGTTTTACAGGATTTTTACTCTATAAATAAAATTAGTCATTATTTATTATTAATTGTTATACGATTACATTGATATATAAATATGAATATTTTAGTTTTATACATTTAAAAAATAATTATGCCATTGATAAATTCATGTCTGAAAATGAATCATTTAATTGACTATTTAATTCATCTTCTTTATAGTTGTCATCATTATGAGGGAATATTACTAACATCTTACCATATTCTAAGTTATAGAATAAGTTGCCTAAAATAAATGTTGTCTAATAAATTTTCAAATTCATCCAAGCCCTCCGAATTTTTTTGAAATTATACCACAACTATTTAATTTCATACAAAAATTCATTATTCAATTATATCTAATATGCAAATTTTCATCATATGACTTTTGTGAACAAAATAGAGAAAAAACTTGATTTTTTGAAAACTAATAAATGGTTTGCCCTCTTATCAAATGAAAACGTTTTGATAAATATCACATAATTAAATTATATTGGGGGATTTTAATATAAAAAATGGGTTCTATAAATCTTTTCTGTAATGGATAAATTTAGTTTTTATACAAACTATTGAAAATGGATAATTAGGAATTTTTTATATCTCTTAATTCCTCTGTTAAGTACAAATCTCGCTAGTAAAGGAATTATTCTTTACCATTAGGTTAATGATAAAGTTACGCACGTCATGTTTTGACTTCTGATAATTTTTTTTGGTTAAAAGCCTCATGATGAATAATTTCTATAAAAGTTTTATAAAAATTAAATTATAACGATTTTTTTTTATCATTGTCTTCGCCTTTATTATTGTTGCGGCTCTCTAGAAAAATTACTACAATGATGACCAAAATACTGATCTCTTTGTATGATCATTCCATACAAAATTATATTCATGTTACAATATTCAATTTAAAAATACAACAATTTAAATATAGTACTAAAACAATTTAAACCATCTGACATTCAATTTCGTATTACATACGTACATCCTAATGATCGTCACTTACTTGACTTCCTGTACCTACTTTTGATTCTGTTTCTACACATAGGACAGGAACAAAAAGTAAGTTTTTATAAACAATTTTCCAATGTTTTATCTTAACTAATAATTAGCTACTATTTATAATATTATTTATATAATAAATTGTAATTTCATTTAAATTTAATCACATTTTTTAATTTAAACAGAAATCCCTTATAAATTAGAATACAAAATTGACTTCTCTAGTTTACAATAGATTTATTTAGCTATCATCAATCTGGAACTCATAAATGTAAAAATTAATACTAACATCATAAAATTACAGCCTTTATAGAATGGGTGGGATTTAAATTTTTCGCATGCAGGGATCATAGATTAGCTATTTCCTCATCCTGCATGCGATGATATGTATCACGTTCACAGCGAAGTGCAACAAGCTATCCCTAAGGTTAGCATTAATATAAGGGGACGACATAAAGGATACATACACAATATACATTAAATAAGTTACCGTTTGGTTTAAATAGAATTCCAACCATTTAAATAACGGTCCATCATATTACTTTACTTCCGAATTCAAAACTCTGATTCACACGCACTGTAAAACTGTGGTTGAAAATAGGTCATGGTCGTGATCTTCAAATAAACAAAAGATATTTAATGCTTTTACACATTATGTAACTAATGTAAAATGACAAATAAATAATCCTAAAAATAGGTGTGTCCAATTCAAATAATTGTTAAAATTTATGAAAAATAGCTAAGCACTAAAACGTGGGATTTTGAAACAAGCTTAGTAAATCAATTTATAGCTTGTAACAGTATTATATTAACTGGGAGAAGAACACTTAAGCCAATTTCACTAATTAATTTTCATGATATGGCAATGATCTTTAAAAGTTGGTATAACTACAGAAGTTCATTTCTTTAAACATATCGTTAAAAAATATACTTTGCACTAAATTTCTAAAATTAAAAAAAATCAGGGTATTTGGTCTAATTATTCAACACTCCACAATAAATAAACACTAGCTGTATTGCGTGAAATATTCACTAGCATTAAATTTGAGTAATTTTGTTGATTTGTGAAGCATGACTTTAATGACAAAATTCAAAACACTAATGTTGTCATTTAAATATACAATGAACAATCAAATTTCCGTTCCAATACTGCGCCCTCTCAGTATTTTTTAATTAAATTCAATCGGTTAGGTTTGCTTATTACTTTAAAGTGCTATAAATATTCAAATTTAAGAGTAGATGAAATTATTAATTTTTTATATACATAAAAGAAGTTAATTTGTACTAATAAATCGATAATATAACTTTACAGTTTAATAATTTTTAATTGTTCGATAACTAGATAAGTTACCTTATTTTTTTTAATATAAATTTCTTTTTATCAAAACAATTTTATTAAACACCACTTAAATGATTTTAAAATATTGTCTTTTTTTAAAAATTAAAAGTAATTTTTTAACTAATATAAATTAGTTTATAAATTAGAATGAATTTTTTCGATAAAATTTTACTCATTTTTTATTTATTTTATTAAAATTGTAATGAATTCATTGTAAATATTGAATATCGTATAAATAATTTTTAAAAATAGAGTTAAATTTTATAAAGATGAGTATGGACTTTACAAGTTTGTTTAAAAAAGATAATGTAGAATTGAATTAAACTGAGATGAGAAAAACTTCAAAAATTAGGGTAGCCAATGCTAAATATTGATAGGTTGAAAAAAAGTCTTGTAATAGTTACTAAAAAATATAATCTGGTATTGAAAAATCAAATTATATGTTCAACCGACTATATAATGAATTATTTGAAACACATAACGCCAAAATGGCTAAAACCACATAAGTGAAATTTTACACTATGAGTAATTTAAGCTTAGACTTTTTTCATCAATAATTAAAATTGATATAGTTGTCCCCAACAAAAAAACGAATTCACTTATTTAAGTATAAATTCTTGTCTTACAAAACATTTTTGGTACTATTCCAAAATTAAAATTAATATAAAGTTTATATATCATAAATTGCTTTGAAATATTAATAATTACAAAAGAATTTAAAAAAAACGTGGGATTGTCCATTTCAATAAAAATTAAAAATTAAATAAAAAAAATTATTTCATTTTTAAAATTGTATTCAACAATTTTTATATTTAAAATATACAAAAGAATAAAAAAAAATTCAAATGGCCTAAACCAAAATTTAAAAAAATTTAGCGGCTTACCCACTATTTGTGTCTTAAGTTACTTAAAAAGTACTTTTAAAAGTAAGTTGATTTGGTAATATAAAACATTAAATTTTGAGTAATTTAAGTAATTAAAATAATTTTTTTCATTGTGGCTTTAGTTATTCCAGCACTATACACATAATTAAATTTTAACTTATATAATGTTACAAAATAAATATGAAGTCAACATATTCAAAAAATAACTTGTTAAGTAAACAGTTTTTTTTTTATAGATTTTAATACATAGTATTATTATAGCTTGAAAATTATCTTTTATTGATGTTATTATTTTGAAAGAGTAGTTTATAGAAATAATACCAGTTTTGAGGGTACTTAAGAGACGGCGGGGTACAAAGAAAATTAAAACTTATTACATTTACTCAAATATAATTCTCAAATTTACAAACTTTAGTAGTTTAATTTTTTTAGTAAAAAATTTTAAGATATTGCTGAATAAAATCGAATTTTTTGAAAATAATTGTTGTGACAAACACTTAAAATGTTATTTTTATGGCACTCAATATTTATTCATATATAAAATGTAAATAGTTAAAACACAAATAAATAAGAGTAACCTGGTGACTGATGCTGGAAAACTCACTATAAATTTAATGTAACAACACTTTTTAAACGTGAATCATGATTTAATTAGCCATTTAAATCAATCAAAGTACGGTGTTTATTAGTGTTAAGCCGGAAAGCTTACTTGAACTAGTTCATATAGTGTATGTTCTCTCATTCTAGTTTGAAATCCGCCGGCGGACGGCTAACAATAAAATTAAAAAACCGTGGTGTACGTGTGTAAATTTTAAATAATGTGAAGTACTGTTATTATTGCACTATATTTTGCGATATATCTAAAGCCATTGTTTAAATTTAAAAAAATTAATTATTTGAATTCATACACCGTCCTCATTTGTAATCCGGTTTTTAGCTCTATTATGACTTTAATAGTGAGAAAATGACTTTAATTATAACACCTGAACTTTAAAAATTAAAACATATTATTGTGCTTAAGTGCGTTTATAGTGTAAAAGTATTTATTTTTACTTGGTTAAATAAATCATATAACTCTAGAAGACAATTTTTCATAATTAATTTCATTATACTACTTATTTACTGTAAGTAAAGTAATAACACTTATTTTAACTCAAAACTAATAAAGTATACATTTGTTTTGATAGAATATTTTTTAACTGATTAGTTTGTATAGAACTTATTTATATTTATAACTAAAGTATTTTGATAAAGCATACTAAAATGACTAAAAATGGCAGAGAAATAAAAAAAATTTGTTTTGTTTTTGACCTCAAAAAATACATTTAACGTAATATTGTATATTATTTGTTAATTATAATATCATACTTATACCTTTTCTTATGAAACGTATATTAATTAATAACAGATTTGTTTTTTTCCTAGGATATTAAAATTTATTAAATGTAGGTATTCAACAAAAATACAATAAAAACAATTAACACGTGTAGTTTTAAACTTAATCTACTAACTAATAACTTCTAAACTGAATCATATAATAAATGAAATTTTATGTTAAATAATATATCAATAAAGTAAACAAAAAAGGGTTACTATTGTAATTTTATAAAACATTTTTTTTATTAATTTTCAAATAATTTTTTTTTTTATCTGAAAACTTTGAACCTAGTAAGCCTAAATCGTCTATAGTAAGTAATATACAAATTGATACCAAAACTCAACACGATAAAATACTTAATAAAAAAAAATCCAGAATAGTAGGTACGGGGCATATTGAACACTAGTATAGTAATGAAACTGAGTACTTAAATCACTATCTAAAAAGAGGCACAATATGCTTATCTGTAGATAATATTTTATTTTATATTTAGTAAGAATTTTGAAATTGAATATAAAGCATGAACTAACTAAATATGTACATTTCTAGAAAGATTATTCCTAGAAAGAAAATTTGTTTTCTTAATAATTTTATTATATTAAATTGATATTAAATGATTCAGTAATGTAGTTAATACAAACAAAATTCATTTGTATTATTTCTTTATTGATTCGTTAAACGAATCATAAAGAGAAAAAAATGTTCGACTATTCTGACCTTCGTTAATTAATTATAATTTTAGTTATGAAATTTAAATTGTAATTTATCGTGAGCCAATGGTAGCTAAAACATTTTTTTTAAATAGAGAAGCTCCCTTAGTTTGAGTATAATTATTGGATTGACATTAAAATATGCTAAAATCCGCCCTAAAAACTTTTATAATAAACAATTAAATAATATTTATTTTATATTTTTGAAAAGGGGGTGAGTTAAATAAATTAAATTAAATAACTTATATCTATCTCATATATAACTAAACTGTTTAACCTAAATATAATCATAAAGATTTGATAAAAATTGTTGAAGCAAAAATTATAACAACATGAGACACGATGATTTTTTACATAAAAATGACATTTTTTATTTAATTGCATTGGTCATTTACATATATATAGAAAACAAAGTTTCAGGACAAATTTTTTTTTAATTTTAGTATGTAATATAAGCTTTAATTTAAAATATGTTAAATTGAATAGGTAAAGATTAAGATTTTAAAAAGTAATACCAAATATAAGGGAAATGCCTAAGATATTAATAAAAAAATTATTTTATTTTGTTTTTTTTAATTTATATTATACACATTTATAATATGTATTTTTTGTTGAGATTTTGAGCGTTTAAAACCTACAATTTGCTACTGTGATGGAGAGGAATAAGTATAGACTATTGATCGGGTAAGGAGAATTGAATATATTAATCATTTTGAAAATTCTAAAATATTTTATTTTTTATTACATAATCTGTCATAAACAGAACTCGGGATCTTATATTTATAAAATTTATTTGAACCACATCTAAGACACCAACTCCATGAAAAATAATTGGAGGAAATTAAAATAAACATCATAAGTGCATAAATTTCGAATCCCTGGCCATAAAATACACAAAAGTATTATCAGGTTAACCCGTTACAACTCGTTAATAAAAGATAGTAGTGTACACGGGATTTTTCTAAAGAGATTATTTCACAACAATGACAAAACACTATGAGGCACCAAATGACAACTGATCTACATAAAAACCAGATCACAAATTATACATTCTTAGACATTGTCTTCAAAAATTGAAAAAATTTTGCTTTTGCCCTTTAAATGAGGGAGATTCCTCCAAAAACAATGATTTTTAAAATCGATAAATTTTGAAATTTTTATAACATAAAATTTTATGTCATACGATATATTCCTATAGAAGTATATGGGTAATCACCCCATTTGACCCGCTTTGACAATATATATATATATATATATATATTTACAGGGAAAATTGTTTTCAATTTTTAATGTCTATCCAATAAGTATATTAAAAGAAACGGGGCTTAACTTTCCAAAAAAAATGTCTTAGTTACCAATGGATATTGATAAATTATTCCAAAAGCAACAAGTACTCTTATTTCTTTATTTATACTCTGAATACAAGTTTTATGATTTATAAGTATATTAATTAAATTTAGTATAAAATTGATATTAAATAGTTAAGTATTATTTTTCATAGAAAAATTATAAAGTGTTTGTATAGAGGATGATTTAATTATAATTAAGAAAATTATTCGTCGATGACAAATTTAGACCCATCATTTTGGAAGTTATGACTATTTTGAAATATAGAGTAATGGTGAAGTGTGGGTTTATGATATTTTTATTATTACACATTGCTGTCATGGTCTTTCTCCACTATATATTTAAAAATGTTAATAACTTTTGAAGTGCTATTTCAACATTTCCAATAATTTTTATTTATTTATTAGCTAGTTAAATATATATGTTGCCATTTATAAAAACAAAATAGCAAAAGCAAAATATTTTAAATTATATATTATATATTATATAATTTTTATAATTATATAAAAGCTAATTATAATTATATATAATTCCAAAAGCTACATGATCTCCTATTTCCTTATTTATATCCCGATTACAAGTTTTATGATTTATAAGTGTAATATATGAATAAATATATATATTTATAATAGTCAAATATATAAAGGGAAATGGTGTTATTTAAAAAAAAAGTATATAGAATAAAAAAGGGATATAAATATTATTTCTTATAAAAAAATTGTATTGATCCATACAATTTTCAATAAGTTATAGCATTATAAAGTTAAAAATGTAAAACATAAAATCGAGAATTTTCACACAATAATAGCATACGGTAGCCATTTTCACCGTGAAGATAAAATAAAGTCCGAATTTTTTTAGCTTCGATGCGAAGCTGAGAAGGTATTGGTTTTACTAAGATGTGTTTTTTTTTTTTTTTTGTG